GTTGGGGTGTGCGGTGGGGGTGGGTGGGCTGCGGGAGTTCGTACACTGGGGCGGTCTCTAACCCTAAAGGTTCTTCCCTGCCCCCCCCCCCCCTTCCTCTGCGGGGCCCGCGTCCCAGGCGCCGGTTGGGGAGGAGCGGCTCCCGGAAGCCGTCTGACTGCTCGTGGCCGCGAGTCCCGTCAGAGGACAGATTGCGAGCCAGTGAGGCTGCACCTTCTGCCCAAAGGGGCTCCGGCCGATTCACGGGGAAGCTCCCCGCTAAACTGCTCGGTGCGGGCCTGGGCCGTCAGGCAGGTCTGCGCACTGTGGGCTCCCCCCTCCCCGCCCCCCCGCCCCCGCTTCCTCCCGGGCATCGCGCTGACTGGCCGTCACCCCCTCCAGCACCGGCGGCTCCGGTTCCAATGGGTCTGAACTGGGCCGCTCTCAGTCCCGGGCCCTCCCTGAGCCCGAGGCCCAGCAGCGTGTGAGTCCCACTGACTAGCTCAGCGGTCGGCGCCCGAACTCGGGGCCTAACTCAGCCTGGAGGCCGCGCTGTGCGTCCGGGGAGGCGGGGCTCCCCCCGCGGCCCCAGGCTCTGCCTTTCCCGCCACCCTCCCCCTCCTCCTCCCGCTCCCGCCTCCGTCCCTCCCCGCTCTCCCCCGTCTCCTCCCCTCCCTCCTCCTCCCGCCTCCGTCCCTCCCTCCCCCGCTCTCCCCCGTCTCCTCCCCTCCCTCCTCCTCTGCCTCCGTCCTCCCTCCCCGCTCTCCCCCCTCCCCCTCCCCCCTCCTCCCCCCCCCCCCCCGGCCGCGGCCTGAGCGCTGGGCTTGGAGGCCAAGTCCCCGCCTCCACCGCCGAGTCTTCCCCCCGAGGGACCTTCCAGGGCCGCCCACGCCCTCGCGGCTGTCGCGCTCGCGTTGCTGTGGACACGTTTCCTCGTGTTTGATGTCAGCGGGGCCTTAACCGGGGGTCACGGGGGCGGGCGGGCGGGAAAGAGCAAGTGAACGGGCGGGGGGGGGGGGTGGTCCCCGCCAGTCCTGAGTCCTCCGTGGAGGGGACAGCCGTGGGGCCCCGCTCTTCCTGCAGGGACCCCGCACCCCCCGTGGAAGGAGGAGGTACGGGCGGGGGTGGCGAGGGGGCAGGAGGCGCCGCTGAGCTCGCTCACCCGGTGGCGGGGTGGGGGTTGGGCGGGTGGAGGTGGGGCTGCCCGTGGGGTGGGGGTGGGGGTGGGGGTGGTGCTTAGGGTGAGGGTGTGGGGTCGGGGGGGGGCTGAGGTTGGCCATTAGGGTGAGGGTGGGGTGGGGTGGGAGTTAGGGTGGGGGTTAGGGGTCGGGGGGGGTTAAGTAAACACGTGTGTGACCTGGGGGCCGGGAGTGCCCGCCGCCCGCGGGGACCCAGACCATTAACAGTACAATCGCCGGCACCGCGGGCACTGGTTCCTGACGCTCCGCTGTGACCACTGGCACCTGCGGCCCCCCATTCCCAGCCGGCCCCCCGCCCCGCCCGAGGCCAGGCCGGGGTGAGCTATCCCCGCGGAGCCCGAGGGGCCCGGGTCCTCCCCGCGCGCCCACCCTCCGGCGCCCGAGGGCCTCGCTGTGCGTCTGTGAGCGAGGAGCGCCCTCCTGCGGCCACAGGTTCTCGGGGCCTCCCCCCCTACCCCCCCCCCCCCCCCCCGTCCGGCGCATTTTCCTGCTGTGACTCTGGCCCGCTTAGGTAGGAAGCTGTCTTTCCTCGGTTTTTATTATGGACCATTCAAACACTGCAATATGTTGACAAAGATTTTCTTAAAAAGTATGTTGTCAGGTTGGTAAGTCAGCCAACTAAATAATTTGTATTTTTTAATGCTTGAGAAAAGTATTTTTTTTATAGACAACTATTTTTTTTGTTTGTTTTAAATCTCAATATCCTTTATTCCATTTAGTTTATTTGGCAAATGATACCATCATTGACCCGCCGGGTGAAGAAGCCGTAGCAGGTTAGGACGGATAAACAAAGAAACCAGAACGCAGGAGGGCGAAAAGGAGGCATAACAAAGGCAGAGACCACTGCTTTTAATGGAGACTGGAGGTTATCATATGCACAAGTCATGCCTGACACCTGGGGAAATGCCATCTACATAAAACAACTGACATACTTATAAGCACAGTCCGTGGACAGGGGCAATAGGGAGGTGAGGACCTTGGGGGGGGGGGGGTTAGGGGCTGGGGTGGGAAAAATGGGAGATACCTGTAATATTATTAACAATAAAAATACATTTTAACCAGTTAATTGCCACGTGTCCAAAACAGCAGCCATCCCCACACGCCACGATATTTGAATTTAAGGAATCAATTTGCAATGAATGTTATAAAAATAAATATATTACGATTTGGATGTTCTTGAATATTTTCAGTTCAAAATTCTTTCGAAAATGATTGTAAAGTTGGTCTATAGATGCTTATGGCAGGCAAATCGTTAAAAAACAGTACATATTTAAAATACAGTTTTGGTATTTTCACACAATAATCGTGTCCCAGAAGTTTGGTGGTATATTTCCTGAGAAAAGTATCGATGGCGCCTTAGGAGGAGAACTGCTGCCTGGTCCCTCTGCTGATGGCCTTTCCCTGACTCGGGAGGAAATACGGAATCGGCACTTCCATCCGCACCGGATCTGTAAAGGCTGCAGGGCCCTGTGGAGACACGCGGCCAGGAGTGTCCTTTCTCCCACGTCTGGCCTCCAGGTACAGGCAGGGGGGGGGGGGGGGCCTGCCAAGGCTGCATCATGTATGTTCCACCCAGGAAGTGAGGAACAGGTAACAAGAGTCATTCATTGTGTGGTGTTCGGCCTCTTCTCTGTCTGTGCTACTTGAATAAAAGTGACTGACAGAGGAGCCACTTCTAAGGTACAAATGTGCACACATTAGGCTCATTTAATACTCAAAGGAGCCCGAAGACAGACATCAGCGTTATGACCTCCATGTAAGAGATGGCACTGAGGCCCAGGGTGTATAATGACATCTGTGCCCACAGTGGAGCTGAGGTGGGAGGCCAGGGGGTCTGGCCCCAGGGAGCACCTGGCCTCCCAGGGAGCAAAGACCCCAGGGCACAGGGCTCTCCGTGCTCCCTTCTGTGGTTGTGGTGAGGCTTTTCTTAGATGTTCCTTGGCCTTTGCAGGGAAGTCAGGTTTTACCTCTACACTCCAGGGTCCTTGGCTGGGGGCCTGAGAATTAAATTGCCATGAAACCGAAGGGGCCCACCTGTGTGGCTCAGAAGTTGGGCGTCCACCTATGAACCAGGAGGTCACGATTTGATTCTAGGTCAGGGCACACGCCCGGGGTTGCAGGCTTGATCCCCAGTGTGGGCCATGCAGGAGGCAGCCGATCCATGATTCTCTCTCATCATTGATGTTTCTCTTCATCTCTGAAATCAATAAAAATATATTAAAAATAAAACTGAAGGGGAGCAGAATAGGCTGCTCCAAAATGTGCTATTTGTCATGTGTATTATTTTGGTCTCGAGGCAAAGACCCAGCGGACTCAGGAAAAACTTCTTTGCCTAGAAGAATTTAGACACAGGCAGTAGGATGGTGAAGACACTGGGGTGGGGGCAGGGGCTGGGAGGAAAATGGGAGATATCCGTAGTACTATCAACAATAAAAAAATAAAAACAAACAAAAAAATATAAAACCATAAAAAGAGAATTTAGATAGGGGCCTGTCCCAGAGAGGGAGCTACTGACAGAGCTAACTGTGACCAGGCGGACCTTTGTGTAGGACAGGGCATCCTTAGAAGGAAACAGCTGCTCTTTCCCCTGTGAGTCCCCCCTCCCCTTTGCAGCCCCAGGCCCCTCCCTCCTCCTCTTCCTCAGCTCAGGATGCAGACAATCCTCACCTGCCTTTGGGACTTATATTTCTTGGAGCTCTTGTATGTACAAAATAAAAGCCGTTTTTCTCCTGTTATTCTGTGAATCTAATTATTAGATCAGCCAAAGAACCCCGAAGGTAAGGGAAAAGACACATATGGAAGGGAAGGAGCCAGGAGAGACCATGAACCCTTCACCCTGGGATATCGCTGTAGTTCGAATAGGTTCACCAGCTGCCTAATGTCCAGCCTCGTTACTGTCAGTGGAAGGTGCCGCCATGAGCAACCATCCTAACACATAACAGGCACAGACGGACGCTGTCCCCGTAACACTGTGTTTTCACTGTGGGGTTAAGGGGCACAAATGAGGGGAAGGATTTAGGTCGCAGGCGGGAGGGGGAGCAGGCGGCGACCTAAAGGCTCCTTCTGCCTAGAAAAATGAAGGACGCACTCAGGGTTGCAGATGGGAAGGCGGTAGGTTGACAACACGTTAAGGAGCGTTTGTTGGAAATAAAGCAGCCATGCTAGGGTTCGCGACCTCAGGAATGCACTCAGGCGACAATTAGGTGTCCTTTTGCAGTTATTTTTGCATTTTCCAGCCTCTGCACCCCGGCTTTGTTGGTGTTTCCTGCAGGGAGGTGAGTTAAGTCAGGCGCCCTCTACAGGACGCGGGGTGCCAGGTCAGGGGAACCTTCTGGGATAGTGAAAGTTCGTGCTCCGGGAACACAAAGAAACAAACCAGAGAACTGCTGCCATCCGCAAGGCCGTTGGCTCAAGGGGGTAGCATACCAGGGACTTTCCAAACGCGAGGGCTCCAACCGGTTTTCTTCTTTGGGGTCATTTGGGAGGCGCCATGTTAAGCCAGGATCACCCCAAATGGCTCCCAGAACAAAACCGCCGTACTTTGCAAAGGAGTCTATTAAAAGTTGTGATTACACCCGGCCGGTGTGGCCCAGTGGCTGCGTCGACCTATGAACCAGGGGGTCACGGTCAGGGCATAGGCCCAGGTTGTGGGTTCCTCCCCCAGAGTGGGGCGTGCAGGAGGCAGATCAATGATTCTCATCACTGGTGTTTCTACTTCCCTTCCTCTCTGAAATACGTATATTTTAACTACACCATAAACCCGACAAGTTACCTTGAGGCTCGGTGGTTGCTCACAGCCCTTCATGAGACCAGGTGGGCGGCCCTGAAAAGGGCCTTTGGGGGGAGCCAGGCGGGGGACGGGCTCAGCCGCCGAAGCCGTAGAGGGTGCGGCCCTGGCGCTTGAGCGCGTAGACCACGTCCATGGCCGTGACCGTCTTGCGCTTGGCGTGCTCCGTGTAGGTGACGGCGTCGCGGATCACGTTCTCCAGGAAGACCTTGAGCACCCCGCGCGTCTCCTCGTAGATGAGCCCGGAGATGCGCTTGACGCCGCCGCGCCGCGCCAGGCGCCGGATGGCGGGCTTGGTGATGCCCTGGATGTTGTCGCGCAGCACCTTGCGGTGGCGCTTGGCGCCGCCCTTGCCCAGGCCCTTCCCGCCTTTGCCGCGACCAGACATGGTGAAGGAAGAAAGCAGATGACAACTCTGTTCCCCAGCGCCGGGCGCAGCCCCTTATATACCCGCGCCGCGGGCGCTTCAGGAAGCGGAACGCGCAGGGGGCGGGGCACGCGCGCCGGGGCTGCCTCCTTCCTGCCGCCGCTGGGGGTGCAGAGTCGCGGGTTCCTGTGGCCGCCGGACCCGCGCGGTGCGCAGTCGCGGGGATTGGCTTTGTACACGCGTCCTGACCACTGTGACCCTTTGTGAGGAGGCGGTCACGCCGCCCTTATCGACAAAAGGGAGAGATGCCAGAACGAAGTTACTCGTTAAAGGCGAAGGAGAAGTATTGATCCTACAACTCTGGCAATCCTTAGTGAACGTGGCCGCACGTGGGGCGGTCCCGCCCGCAGAGCGCAGCGCTAGGCATCGCGTGCAGCTTCCTAAGGGGGCGGGGGGGCGCTCCAGGAAGGGCAGCCATGTTCCTGGGATTTCCACTTTCGCTCCCAGATTTGTGAAGCACTGTTTGCACCGTGAGAAGGAGTAATCCTCGCGGGGGAAGGGAGGGTAGTGGAGGAAGGTATAGAGGCGGTAAAAGGTGAAGAAAAAGAAATTATTTTTTAAGGGAGAAATCCAGGCTTGGAGTGCTATTCCTGTCCTAAAATGCTTTTGGGGTTAGAACAAGTCTGTGCTCCCGGTCCCCGTGCTCCGGGCCCCCATGCTCCCGGCCCCCATACTCCGGGCCCCCGTGCTCTAGGCCCCCATGCTCCCGGCCCCCGTGCTCCAGGCCCCCATGCTCCCGGCCCCCATACTCCCGGCCCCCGTGCTCCAGGCCCCCATGCTCCCGGCCCCGGTGCTCCAGGCCCCCATGCACTCGGCCCCCCATGCTCCCGGCCCCGGTGCTCCAGGCCCCCATGCACTCGGCCCCCCATGCTCCCGGCCCCCGTGCTCCGGGCCCCCGTGCTCTAGGCCCCCATGCTCCCGGCCCCCGTGCTCCAGGCCCCCATGCTCCCGGCCCCGGTGCTCCAGGCCCCCATGCACTCGGCCCCCCATGCTCCCGGCCCCGGTGCTCCAGGCCCCCATGCACTCGGCCCCCCATGCTCCCGGCCCCCGTGCTCCGGGCCCCCATGCACCGGCCCCCCATGCTCCCGGCCCCCGTGCTCCGGGCCCCCGTGCTCCCGGCCCCCGTGCTCCGGGCCCCCGTGCTCCCGGCCCCCGTGCTCCGGCCCCCCATGCACCCGGCCCCCCCATGCTCCCGGCCCCCGTGCTCCCGGCCTTCTGTGCTCTCGGCCCCCAATGCTCCCGCCCCCCCCCCCCCCCCCCCGTGCTCTCGGCTCCTGTGCTCTGGACCCTCCGTGCTCCCGGCCCCCGTGCTCCCGGCCCCCATGCACCCGGCCCCCCCATGCTCCCGGCCTTCTGTGCTCTCGGCCCCCAATGCTCCCGCCCCCCGTGCTCTCGGCTCCTGTCCTCTGGACCCTCCGTGCTCCAGGCCCCATGCTCCGGAGGGGAGTTTCAAGTGGGAGAGTGTCCTCAGAAGAGACATCTGATAGGAAATGAAAATAGCTGTGACTTCTCAGGGCTCCTCTGCACACTGTATTCGAACACAAAGCCCCTGTCTGCTCTACAGCGTTCTATTTCCTTTGCCCTTTTGGTATTTATTCAGCGCAGCCACTTTTGCAGTTCCCGGACACTTAAGCACAGCCCCAGCACCTGTATCGCTCACCATCACTCACGGCGGGGAGGGGGGGTTAACACTGCCATGGGGAGAACACAGGTCCCGAGTGAGCCGTGCAGCGCTTACCTGTAGTTTCTCTCAGCTGCTTTTCACATCTACAGAGCAAATGGTTCACGCCAGGATCGTGGACAATCCACCGTTTTAAGATGTATACAGATCTAGGGCTCAAGAGTAAAAGCACAACTTTTCGGCAGGCTACCAAAATGACAGGGAAAAGTCTTCAAATTGGCAGTCCCACGGGACATAATCCGGCTTTCAAGAACTCCCCGCCCCCCCAGGCCTCCAGTCCCAGGGAGAAGGGCCTGGCCTCAAGCAACAACAGGAACTGTAGGCAGAGCGGCCCACCCTCCTGTAAACACCTGGGGAGGCGCCGCTCTTCTGGTGAAAGCAATGGTCTCAGTGATTGCCCTCCGGGAGGGACCAGCTGCAAACAGGGAAGGAAAAGGCCCTACGTCCCCATGTCTTCTCCCTTATTCGTGACCTAAATAACCATGGGCTCCAGGAAGAGTTGCACATGAATGAAACGGGGACGTCTGCTGTAGAAAATACTTCGCACTTATCTTACATCGAGTATATGTAACTGAGAACAATTTCAACCATTTTCAACAAGGAATAGTATGACTACCATGATGACCCAAATAGGGAACTTTTAAAAATCTGAATTTTAATTGTATCGTTAGGTGTAGATAATGTTGAGCTGTAGATTGAACAGGAAAAGGGACTATTTAATGGTTAGGTCTGATCCAATAATTGTATCAATATCCCCTCCCCTGGGAACTGACCTTTAGGCCACTCACAACCTGCATCCCTTTTGCTGAGACCACATGCCACGTGTTAAGACCATTATCTCTCCCCGCTGGACTTTCCCCAAGATTCAGATCCACCCAGGAATTCTCTGCCCAGGAAAAGCCGGCCTAGACTGCTCCATGGTAAAACCTCTGACCTGCCATCCCTGGGTGCTGGCGCCATTTTGGGGCTCAGCTCATCTTGTATCCAGATGACCCAATACGTTTATAATCCCTTACCGTGGTCGGCCTCAGGCATTTCTGCTTTGGCAACCCAAACATTAATGTTTGTGATAATAGCTATCGGCAATGATGCTATTGAAGATAACAACCCCTTCCTCTATAGCAGTGGTTCTCCACCGTGGCTGCACATTAGAATCATCTGGGAATCTTTTTAAAATCCTGATTTCTGGGCCCCAGCCTCCGGAAAGTCTGTTTCTTTGTTATGGGGTGAGGCCACAACATTAGTAACAAAAAAACAGAATTTCTGGAGGATGAGGCCCAGAAATCAGGATTTTAAAAAGATTCCCAGGTGATTCTAATGTGCAGCCAAGGTTGAGAATCGCTTCTCTAGACACGCATAACATTCCTGCCCGGGGAGACGGAGAGTACCCGTGACCAAAGCCGATAGCCGCCCTGCTTGTCCACAGTGTTTGTATAACATGGTTTCAGGTACCAGACTTGGTTCCAGTCAGTGCCTGCCAATCAATGACTTTAAAATCAAACCAAGTGATTTTTATAAAACTAACTGTGGCATCTTTAAAATGGAGTATTTTGTCTTGGATTTATATGAAAAAGTGAGCAAATCACATAGAATCGAGGCCAGAATAACTAGATTTTTGGAGATAGGGGTATTTATTAGAAGAAACACAACACCCCAATACTTTACTTGGTTATTTATTGCAACATGAAGTGTGATGCCGGTACCGGATTAATAGGTGGATAATATAAAGTGGTGCATAATTATCCAATATTTGCTGAATTCTATTAGCTTTATGGTGTTGCAAAGAAAGAGATGAGTGGGAGTCGGTCATGCCTGTGATGGAATGTTTGTTCAGCCCCTCAAGTGAGCAGGTTCTGCTCATTGATTTAGGCTGTGACAGTCTGGTTCAGACTTTGTTAATGAAAAGGCCCCGGGTGAAATATGAAAATTCATGCAGTGATTTACTAATCCTCAACCCCCCCCCCCCCTTCCCATCCCATTGAATTTCAGGAGGGGAGAGGGAGAGACACAGAGAGAAACATCAATGTGAGAGAGACGCATCTACTGGTTGCCTCCCAACCAGGCCTGGGACTGAGCCTGCAATCCAGGTACGTGCCCTTGACGGGAATGGAATCTGAGACCCTTCAGTCTGCAGGCAGAGCTCTAACCACCCAGCGAACCAGCTAGGGCTCCTGCAGTGATTTCAATGAGAAACGTTTGTTTCTAATCCTCTGGGTCCCGACTTGCAATGTTAACAAAGGTCAAATGCATTTTGTGTTTTGAATATCATCTCGGAATATAGGAACTATGTTCGAAACTGCATGCTAAGTACTGGGGGGCCAATCTGGTGGACTGGGTGTCTGTCCTGAAGGCCTTTCAAGTTTAAGGGGAGGGATGAACACCAGTGCTTCCGCAGGGCTCTCCTGCTCACAGCTGGTCAACTGAGGTGGACCTGCCCATCTGATGCTTTGTGGGTAGGTGTGTGGGGGGTGACCTCCGATGCCCACTCTAGGTCTGAAAAATCGAGTGGGCTACCTTTTAAGAGAAGATGGATGACTATCTAGAACTGGTTATTTAAACAAAAACACATGCACGGAGCAGTCTTGCCCTCGTCCCTCCTAAAAATGGTTAAATCACCAAAAACAATGGGATCAAACCCAGTTTCCACAATGGTCGCTCCAACACTTAAAAAAAATCAAATCAACATTTTTTCTAATATAGGTCGTAGTCCATCGTGTACTTTGAATTCCCGTCCCCCTCTGCCAATTCCCAGGGCTCAGGGCGAACCACTCGCAGGCGAGCTGTGCTATTGCTCTCGCGAAAAAAACTATTTTCTGGGTCCATTTGAGTACAGATCCGTTCATATACACAAAATTGCAAAGTCAAGAATGTGAAGAACTATGTTCTGGAAGAAATATTTGCAAAGGAGACGGAGAGAAGTCGTATTTTTAAGGAAAAGCGGAAAGTTGTCTCCGTTTGACTGAAGTTTTCAAGAGAGTTGGGGGAATCGGGAAAGTTTCAGGGGGCCGGCGGCGGAGCAGGGCGCGCCGGAGAAGGCAGGGAGGAAGCCTGAAGGCTCCCGGACCCGTTTCCCCCAAATCCCTCATGATTTCGTGCACAGATTTCTTATATTTTTCTCCTTTTTTAAGGGGCAAGAAACACAGCAGCCCGGCTGAGCGGAGGAGCCGGCTAGGCTGCACGGCGCACGGAGCCGCCAGCCAATCACCACCCAGCGCCTCGCTATATAAACCCCGCCGCCCGCGCCGGGCCACGCTCCTCTGACGGTTCAAGTCTCCTGTGGTCTTTCCGGGCGGAACTGAAACATGTCGGAGACGGCTCCCCTGGCTCCTGCCGCTCCCGCTCCTGCGGAGAAGACACCGGTGAAGAAGAAGGCGAAGAAGACGGGCGCAGCCGCCGCCAAGCGCAAGGCGTCCGGGCCGCCCGTGTCCGAGCTCATCACCAAGGCGGTCGCCGCCTCCAAGGAGCGCAGCGGCGTGTCGCTGGCCGCGCTCAAGAAGGCGCTGGCGGCCGCGGGCTACGACGTGGACAAGAACAACAGCCGCATCAAGCTGGGCCTCAAGAGCCTGGTGAGCAAGGGCACCCTGGTGCAGACCAAGGGCACCGGCGCCTCGGGCTCCTTCAAGCTCAACAAGAAGGCGGCCTCCGGGGAGGCCAAGCCCAAGGCCAAGAAGGCGGGCGCGGCCAAGCCCAGGAAGCCCGCGGGCGCGGCCAAGAAGCCCAAGAAGCCCGCGGGCTCGGCCACCCCCAAGAAGAGCGCCAAGAAGACCCCGAAGAAGCCCAAGAAGCCGGCGGCAGCGGCGGGAGCCAAGAAAGCGGCCAAGAGCCCCAAGAAGGTGAAGGCCGCCAAGCCCAAGAAGCCGGCCAAGAGCCCGGCCAAGGCCAAAGCCGCCAAGGCCAAGGCCCCCAAGCCGAAAGCTGCCAAGTCCAAGGCTACGAAGGCCAAGAAGGCGGCGCCTAAGAAGAAGTGAAGCTACCGCGGCAGGTCCTGCTTTGAAAATCTCAAAAGGCTCTTTTCAGAGCCACCCACTAATTTCAGGAAAAAGAGCTGAGCTGGCTGCATTTGGGTTGCTTTCCTTTAAGTGAATGATGCCCTTACCCTGGGGAGGGTAGGTGGGGTCGGGGTGGTGGTGGTGGGAGACAGGGTTGAGCGCTGTTGGGTTCCCAGGAACAATCATAGTCGCTCTCGGGAAATCGAGGCTCTGGGAAGAGCCGTTGGCATCCGCTGCCCGGGACAGTGGTCTCACCTGTTCACTTGCCCTTGACCTCGTGGCTCTCGGCCTTGGGCGGCAGCACAGCCTGGATATTGGGCAGGACACCGCTCTGCCCCGTAGCTTGTTGAGCTCCTGGTCGTTGCGGTCCGCCAGCTGTAGGGGGCGCCTGGGAGTCTTGCCGCCCTGCTTCCCGCGCCCAGACTCGTTAGAAGGGGAAAGTAATTATTGTAACAAGCCGATCCGCGGAAAGGGTTATTCAAGTTTCTGTGTTTTTCCTAAACTTTGCTTCCGCAGTGGTTAGCAGAGGTTATTGAGAGCTAATCGGAACGCCCCGTGCACTCACGCGCATGGGCTCCAGAGAAAGTACCCATTAGAGAGACTGCGATGTTAAGTCTTGTATATTCTGTGAGGCAGTTGAAACCCTTGCTTTTTTCCCTCTTGAGGTCAGTGGAGTTCTTTTGGGGGAAGGGTATCCACTGTTATTCTGCCCATGATTGAGCCGTCACCCTGAGGCTGAGGGACAGTGAACGTGGAAGTCGCCCTCCTCTGGGGGGTTGTAAGTGGCCCCCTTAGCCCGATTTCTTCCCCGCAGATGGTGGCGAGGACTTAGTGAGCCATAGTCTCCTGCTGAGCAGGCTAGGAATTGGAGGGTAAAGAAAACAAGAACGTTCTGGAAGGCAGGGCAGTGTGGCTGGCAGAGAACTGGATTGGGCGTGGCCAGGGCACACAATATGGGCTCTTGGAAGAAGAGGTTCACTTGTCTCACCATTTCCACTTCATGTCTGGGACTGAGCTTTTGTTATTATTAATCACTTATTTCAGGGAAGTTCACTTAGTTTTACTGGCAAATCTGACAAAATCTTCAGTTCTACAGAACATTTGGGGGTGTGAACCTGGGTAGGGGAAACATTTTTCAGGGACTCTCAATGCAATTCAGCATTTTTTTCAATTATGTGTGTAGGCAACTAATCACCATGGATTTTGCAGTACCTGTGACTTCTTCAGCAGAGCAGTCACTGATGTTTTTGTATCGCTCTGCAGGGATTGCAATTATCTTGGAAATAAAATTTACACTAAATTTTTGAAAATGATATTGGTTACTCCTTGCTGCTCCTTATTTGATGTGTTATTAATGAAACGCATTATTTTACAAGCTCAAATACACTCTGGGTATGTTTTAATGTTGCTTTCTTATCCTGTATGCATCAAGTACTTAACCAACATCCTTTTGAAAACAACATCCATCGCGTCTATAAAGAACAAAAGGAGTCTTGCATCCCTAAGCCCATTTCCAGGGGGCACAGTATCTTGGTGGAATGTCTCTTCACCTTATACTTTGTTTATAACACCCCCTACTGGATTACAATTTAATTTTTACTATCTTAACTTATTTTTTTTTAAAGTATGTAGCCTGTAGCAGGTGTCTTCTAACCAGTTCAAAATGTTCCCAGTGACAGCTGCATCTCATAATTTCTTCCTACTTTCCACTTGAGAAAGAATACCTGGGTAAATGGGAGAATGCGAGGTTGTTACTCAAAAGAATCTGAAAAGAGACTACATGGAGTAGGGAATACGGGAAAACAGCTGTGAGGTCTTTAATAACCAGAATGAGAGAGTCAGGCTTTTGATGAAGAGGGAGGAGGAATAAGAATTATGGGGGGAAGTAGTCATTCACTGAGTGGTCGAAGTGACCATACCACCGCTGAAATCTCTTACAGTTTACAAAGCACATCTATGGCTGCCTCACTAGGAAGCATTTGCATTAGGCCTGATTGAAATGCTTGTTTTACAGTTAAGAAAACTGGTTTAGAAACATGAACTGAGCAGAATCACCTTCCTGGTGCTTGACCAGAAAGTCCCACACGGGTTAAGATTATGTATGTTTCTGGGAGGGGTTGAGACTGCAATTAGGTCAGGTATTAAATCTGGGTTTGGTGTCTGGGGCTTTTAGCACAGTGATGCCATTTGGGGTCTTCGGTGTTTGTCCTTTACCATCTACACTTATGACGTACCAAGCAGGCTGACCTAGACACCATGGATTATTAACAGCCAAGAACCCATCAGGAAATTTGAGATTACAAATATCAAGTTTTGAAATGCAGTTTACTTTTGAGGTAGAGGCAATACTTACAAATGAATGTACTGACGTAGAACAAACCTCAGCCAAAGGGATCTGCCACCACCAGCACGGCCGGAACAAAGCCAACCCTCCGTTTGTATGTAAAGCAAACACTGATTTGTTAGTTTCAAATAAAGTCCATTGACCCTATCTCCCCGAATGGTGACATCCTACACAATCACCAGGCAATGGACTTGGACAAAATACTCTTCTCTAGACTGCAGTGCAAGCCTCATTCACTCCCCACCGGTTTCACTTGCGCTCCCGTGGGCACGTGCGCTCGCAGACAGCCCCCGGCAGTATTCTCCCACGTACATGCTGCTTCACTGGCTGAGGACATGCAGCAAGGGCGAGCTACTCAACTTCACCGGGTGCAATTCTGCAGTGAGTATGCGCTAATTTGCGCAACAAGCCCTTAACTCCTTATTAGACCTTTAGTTATAATTCCAGGCCTCGTTTGGTGCAATAGCAGTGCCCAGCTCTAATCACTGACAGCAGAGCCACGCGCTCTGCCGGAAAATGCACCGCAAGCCGCCTCAGCGACAGCCGGCGAGTCCTCGGGTGAGGGAGAGTGGGGCGGCCAGAGCACCACTTCCACGCAGCTGCACCCCCTACGACCCGATCTGCTACAGCGTTGTTTGGGGACAGCCGTCTCTCCTTGGCTTACAGCTCTTCCATTGAAGCGGTAGGCGGCTCTGAAAAGAGCCTTTGGGTTTCGGCGCAAGTGGGTGGGACGGAGCTCAGGCCCGCTCCCCGCGTATGCGGCGCGCGAGCTGGATGTCCTTGGGCATGATGGTGACGCGCTTGGCGTGGATGGCGCACAGGTTGGTGTCCTCGAACAGCCCCACCAGGTAGGCCTCGCACGCCTCCTGCAGCGCCATGACGGCCGAGCTCTGGAAGCGCAGGTCGGTCTTGAAGTCCTGCGCGATCTCGCGCACCAGGCGCTGGAAGGGCAGCTTGCGGATCAGCAGCTCCGTGGACTTCTGGTAGCGGCGGATCTCGCGCAGGGCCACGGTGCCGGGCCGGTAGCGGTGCGGCTTCTTCACGCCGCCCGTGGCCGGCGCGCTCTTGCGGGCGGCCTTGGTGGCCAGCTGCTTGCGGGGCGCCTTCCCGCCCGTGGACTTGCGTGCTGTCTGCTTGGTCCGAGCCATAACTGAGGAACCGAGTCGGTGGGCCGAAGTGGGCGGCCGGACGCTGTATTTATACGGGAGCAGAATCGCTCTGATTGGCTGGAGTTAATTTCAGGACGTGATCCCTCTGTATTAGGGTGGGATTTCCGTTCCATGCGAGTCTCTGATTGGTCAATTTGAAGGCCGTCTTCCCCGCCCCTCAAATAAAATTATTTTCTTAGTTATCAGTTTCATCAGTGATGTTCCCACGTCTACAAAGTCGACCCACAGACAGATTTATTATTATTGAGGTTTTCTCCTGTTTGGAAAACAATGTCTTTGAAAGAGAAAGAGCTTAATTTTTGTTCAAAGAAACACCGGCATTTTGTGCGGTTAACCGGTTTTCTTCCCGCTCCTGTTACCCGCCCGCCCCGCCCTGCCCCGCCCCCCTGTTAAATCCATTGTCTGAGCCTCTCCCGGGATCGACTTCACTGTATTTTCGGTAAATTCCCAGTTCTCTGTAGCAGGTGCTTGTAGGATATACTGGGAAGACGTGCAGAATGCGGTATCATTCAGGGTTCATGCAAACTTCCCATTTCCTGGCATCCCTGGCGCTTTACTTTCAAGTTCGACTTCAAATGGTCATTTGACTCCACCGTTAGGTTTGGATGCATTACAATGTCAGCTGGGCTGTATAAGCAGGAACGGATGAAAAAGCATTAAAAAAAATAAAGGAAGGAAGGAAAGAAGGAAGGAAGGAAGCATTTGCAATGTGGAACCTTGGAATAGATGGCAGCAGTATTTTGTGTGATTGGCTTATTTCCTTCCAGTTTCGTCCATGTTGTAGCAGATGTCAGGTTTCAAGAAGGTGATTTTTGAGTTAATTCCTGAAGAAGTGAGGGAGCTAGAGCAAGGCCCTGAGGCAGGGAGCGAGCTGGTGTTAGATAAAAAGGCCATTGCAGCTGGGAGGTGGGAATGGGGTGGGGAGTAAGAGCACTAAGGCCAATTTTGTAGCATGTCAGGGGTTTGGCTTTGTTAAAGGAAAGTAAACAAAATAAAATGAATTTATTTTGAAGAAGAAAAAATAAATAGATGGCAGCGACCCAGGGTCTTCAGTGCACATTTACTCAAAATGTTCCTGGCGGGAGAGACAGGGGCGTCCTGTACAATTTGTGGCAAAGCCCGTGAAGCTGTGCTCAGGGCTGCACTCGGCTACTCGGCAGGATTTCCTGCCTTGGCTTTCACTGATTTTAAAAATTAAAAATGGTTCTATCATAAAAATATATTTTTTAAGAAATTGATTTTATTTATAGGATTCCCTGAAAGTGTTTGTTTCATCCAATAGAAAAGGAGTTTAGGAATACCTAATATATATTCTATTCATACTTTGGCCAGTTTGGGTCCAATCAGAGTTTATTTATTTATTTTTTCCAATCAGAGTTTAGATTTGTGAGTCTTTGCATATGGGTACCATAAGTACCCGGGTTTTCCCTTTGTTCTGTTTCCGTTAGCCTCCCACATTTCTTGCCCTTATAATTCCATGCCATGCCTGAGCCAGCAGAATCCACGCCCGCCCCCGAAAAGGGCTCCAAGAAGGCGGTGACCAAGGCGCGGAAGAACGACGGCAAGAAGGGCAAGCGCAGCCGCAAGGAGAGCCACTTGGTGTACCTGTACAAGGTGCTCAAGCAGGTGCACCCCGACACCGGCATCATGGAGTGAAATAAATAGAATTTCATTGCCATTTCAGGGACTTTGCCGTGTTAAGAGTAACTGCCTTTAAAGGCTTTTTAAATAAATATAAATTTAATCATTTTAGTGAATTTAAAGAGTTGTGCAACCATTACCACATTACAATTTTACTTTATTTATTTATTTTTAAAAATATATTTTATTGATTGCAGACAGGAAGGGGGAGAGAGAGCTAGAAATATCAATGATGAGAGAGCATTATTGATCCGCTGCCTCCTGCACGCCCTCCACCTGGGATGGAGCTCAAAACCCAGGCACGTGCCCTTGACCTGAACTGAACCCAGGACCCTTCAGTCCACAAGCTGAAGCTCTATTCACTGAGCAAAACTGGCAATGGCAGCTTTTAAATAATATAATATATTTGCTTTCAACTTATAATCCTCACAAGATCAGTGTATTTTTTTTAGATAAAAAGCAGATATATAGAGAAAAAAGCAGATACCCCTGTTGTATTTTAAAACCATGAAATGGGGCCGCCAGTGGCAGAGTGAGCTGTGTGGTGTACATACCCAGGCACATGAAGACTCCCGGCAGGTGGCGGGAGGTGAGGCAGGGAGGTGAAGCCTCTCCTTGGTCTTGGACGAGGGCGTTTGGCGTTGTGGTCATTGTAGCCCCAGAGGGTTTTTAAACCCTTGTCCCTGGCCCCGCTCTCGGTGCCTGTACCTCAGACCTCAGAGCTCCCCCGGACGGGGTGGGGGGTGAGCTCACTGGAAGTGGCTAATCCAGAAACAACTATTTCCATCTGCAGAGACATGCACAGCGGCCCCTGACACGGGTTCTTCTTCGTATTCTTTCAGTGCCAGGCAGGTTTTAGCCTCAATGCGTTACTTTCAGCTGGAGTCTCTCCTCGTTCTTGACTTCTACTTTTCACCTGGTAACTGTCCTCCAAGATTTCTAGGGAGAATGGTACCAGTTCCTCGCCTGGCTTCATCTACACTGACAAGGAGAATGCAGAGCTGCAACCCGGATGGGCAGAGGAGCAAGTGAGGGCCAGGTCGGGACGGCGGTCATTTGACCTCGTGCTCAGCGCCTGTCCCTTCAGGATATACTGACCTCATGACACGGGCCAGATGCTGCTTTCAGCATTGGGGGTGCATCAGCGAGCAAATTAGATAGAATGTGGGAGCGAGGGTGCAGACTTCCTACGTGGAGGGGAGGGTGGCGGCTCCAACAACCGGTAAACTAGCTTTTAAAAAATATTTTTATTGCCTTCAGAGAGGAGGAGAGATAGAAACATCAATGATGAAAGAATCACGGATCGGCTGCCTGCTGCACGCCCCACTCTGGGGATGGAGCCCCCAACCCGGGCCTGTGCCCTGACCGGGAATTGAACCATAACTTCCTGGTTCATAGGTCGATGCTCAACCAGAGCCACGCGGGCCGGGCTCCAGTTCCTTCTAATGAGGATTTGCTGGAACAAACCACAGGCACAATGCGTGTTTAAACTCTGTGATCCATCGGTTTCAGGACCCATATATTCCTGGTCTAAGCCTCTCGCCTGAACTCGCGCGTCTCACACCCAGCTGCCGAGCCGGCCTTTGCTCCGGGGCCAGGGGGAGCCTCGGCCCAGGGCCGGGAGGCAGGTGGTTTCCTAGGCAGCCATCAGCCCTTCTCTCCAGCAGGCAGGTTACTAAAGGGACTTTTTTTCCCTTTATCAGTCTGAGGATATACCTTAAAAGCTTTTTATAATCCTATTGTAGAGTTTGAATTATTCACAATAACAATAATAATAATAATAATAATAATTAATAATAAAAGCAAAACCCTCTCAGAAGTTGCAGCAGGCCGGCTTCCGAGCTGAAAGGCGGAGGGAGGGGAGAGCAGGGGCCGCAGGGCAGAGGCTGTGACCCGGGGGGAGCCCCTCCTTCCCAAACGCCAGGTGGGGCCTCGGGCTGAGAGTGAGACACCGAGTTAGAGCCCCGCCGCCTGGTCCAGTGGATGGTGATTCACACTCTGCTCCGCCCGGGGCTTGGGGAGGGCCCGCCTGCAAGTGAACGGAAAGGACAAGGCCCAGCGCCACCTAAACCCAGCACCGCCGGGCCGGGGAGGGGCCGCTCCAGGCCTGGGAGGAGGCGGGAGCGGGAGCGGGAGCGGGGTGAGTCCAAAGTGTGCGGACCCTCCGGCTGGAAACTCATATTGTAATGAACCCTCCTTCCCCTTTCACCTTCTCTCCCGCCGCCCCGATTTGCTGTCTCATTCCGGCCTGTACCCCAGTTCCTCCCGACGGGCCGAGGAACCCCCATTGGGCCTGAAGCTCCTGTGAAAGGCTAAGGCCCCGCCGCCATCTAACACGAAAAGCGGTGTCCACAGGATCACCAGCACCACAGCGCGCAGCTCTTCCGAGAGGGGGTGGGCGGCCCTGAAAAGGGCCTTTGGGGGGAGCCGGGGCGGGGGGCGGGCTCAGCCGCCGAAGCCGTAGAGGGTGCGGCCCTGGCGCTTGAGCGCGTAGACCACGTCCATGGCCGTGACCGTCTTGCGCTTGGCGTGCTCCGTGTAGGTGACGGCGTCGCGGATCACGTTCTCCAGGAAGACCTTGAGCACCCCGCGCGTCTCCTCGTAGATGAGCCCGGAGATGCGCTTGACGCCGCCGCGCCGCGCCAGGCGCCGGATGGCGGGCTTGGTGATGCCCTGGATGTTGTCGCGCAGCACCTTGCGGTGGCGCTTGGCGCCGCCCTTGCCCAGGCCCTTCCCGCCTTTGCCGCGACCGGACATGGTGACCAGAGAAATGGCGAAGCGGCAGCCGAAACCCTATTTATAACCCGGCCGGCGAGGGTGGGCGGGGCCTGGGGTCCGTCTCCGCCCCGCGCGTCCGCGTCTTAGGGCGGGGCCGGCGGAGACAAAGGCGGCTCCGTGCGCCCCGTTCCTTCCCGATCCATTGCCAAGGCCCCGCGGAGGGACCTTTTAAAAATGCTGTTGTGCATCCACGTCCCGAGATGATTGTACCTGTCAGACTAGCGTGTCTTTCCGCTTTAAATTATTGGGGTCTTACTCCCCGCGGATCAGGCAGAGGCCATGATGACTCATGGGCTGGTGCTTTAAACGCCGACCTAATGGGAGAAGTCCCGGCTCCTCTCTCCCGAGAGGCGTCTTTGCACACTTTACCGGAGGGTCACGTGGCGATGTCGGCCTGTAGCTCCAGGGATGCAGGAAAGAGCTGGAGCGACCCGGGGTGCTTGTCCTTCGGGGCCTGGACCCCACTGCGTGGGCCTCAACACTCCCTGCACCCGCCTTCTGAGGTCCAGGACCCCGGTTCTCTCATCTTGACTTTGGTTTCATTTTTAGAATGGAAATGTTGGTGCTTGGCATCTGAAAGTAACTTTTTGGTCAAGTATTGAACGGTCAGCGAGGAGGAATAAAGGGTTCTCTGAAAGGTAACCGCGGTAATCATATCGTCAGTTCTAACTGGGCAGGTCTTGGCGGCAGGACACGCGCCAGCCACAAACCTCCTTCAGTGAGAGGTTGTCTTTGTCGGAAGCCCGCCCTGTGCATTATTGTTCTTTGCACCTGGGTCACCCCACCTTTGACCTGCCCAAACCAATCCCTTTTCTTTTCCAGGCCCCTGGAGGTTTAACCACCTACCCTCCAGAGAGCACATAATCTTTTTAATAGTTTGGATACAGGCCTTGTTTCCTCCAATCTTTTTAAAGAAATTTTCTATTGATTTCAGAGAGGAAAGGGGAGGGAGAAACAATCTGATCTTCATGTAATCTTCCTCCCATCTCCTCCTCAACTGTGAATGCATAGAAAACACAAACCTGTTCCTCCGAGAACTTGCCTCCCAGCTTATGTCCTGGTGTACAGTTCTCCACAGGTTGGGCGATTTCTTAGGCGGACAACTAATTTCCTAAGTAAAGTGATCTTCACGCCCCCGGGGTTTATTCTCCCCAGCGACCTTGAACCTTTCAATCTGGTATTTGGCAATCTGGCCCTACATTCCTTTGCTTTCATCATGTCCGTATCTCTATATCAAAAACAAGTGTTCGATTTCTGTCGTCAATGCTAAATTTACATGATAACATTTAAATGTATATACAGAGTGGTGCAAAAGTAGGTTTACAGTTGTGGGTACGCAGAACACGAGTTTATTCTTGTATTATTATTATTTATTAGTGATTGTATTCTCATTCATATGAGCAACTGAAAGCCTCCTTTTGCCCCACCCCGTGTTTCCCAGACTTAGCCATCAGTCTCCATCACACTCCCATCCCCCCCACACAGTTCGCCCTTCAGACCACAGTTTCTGGAAAAGTATTCAGAACCACCTTTGAGCATTTGAAGTGTGGCTGAAGGTGAGGAACCAAAATTTCAATTTTATGTAATTTTATTTGCTGTTTTCAATTTAAAAGCAGATGCTGCACTGAGTTATTGAAACTGTTGAGCTACATTTGAACCACTTGGGCAAGTGAAATTAATTTTCTCGGCAGGACAATTTGGGGAATGTAAATGTATATCAAGTATTTCGAGAAAAAAAATGATATCAGATTGCATAAAACATGCACCCAGTTTGGAAGATTTAGGCTGAAAAGAAGGAATGAAAAATATTACAATAATAAGGGTTACGTTTTGAAATAAGAGTGTTTTGGGTATTTCGGGTTAAATAAATCATGGGGACAAAGGCAGTCGGGTAACTGAGGCTTGTCTGCCACCCTTAGCTCAGGAGTGGAATAGGGGCCATGGCTTCTGGGCAGAGGGAGGGCACGTCACCAGGAGGAGCAGGTGTGGGTCATCAGATGTCTCCTGCCCTCGGTCACTTGGTCACTTGGATGGAAGTTGTCTGCTGCAGTAGATCGCTTTCGGGGACGGCCCCCTATTTATATTCTTTCAGGTAGGTGACGAAGAGGCACACGGTTTTAGTGCTTCTGCTGGGAGTTGATTGACTGTAGCTCACAATAATCCATGTGGCAAAGTGGCTCATTTTGAGGTGGCATATTCTGCAAGTAAAGATGGATACTAGAAAGATGCTGACCTTAGAATTCTTCAGGGGCAGGATATCAGGAGTTGAAAGCTACTTGCAATCAACGTGGCTAACCTTTTTGTTCCAAATGGGTGTGTTTTTTGAGAGTAAGCATCCACACCTGATTACTAAAGCAATTATTGTCTAGGAGACCTTAAGCGTCTGTACATGAGACTTTGCATTCCAGGAGTGCAAAAAAGAAGACAAGCAAACATTCAGTGGAAGTAAAAAAGCCTGTCCATGAAAAATGTATTGTTTCTGGAATTTAGGTAAAGACCAAGAGAAACGGAGATAAGAAAGTCAGGTTTCACCCTAGCTGGTTTGGCTCGGTGGATAGAGCCTGGGCCTGAGGACTGAAAAGTCCCAGGTTAATTCTGGTCTGTGGCGAGCCGCCACGGCCATGGCATACGCAGCCCTAGGGAGCCTTATGTGCCACGCCACTCGGCCAGGGTCAGTGAGCCCGAGTAGGGGTGATGAAGGATGGAGAAAAGACAAGAGAATGAGCTGGGTCTGGGTGGGATGCTGCTCCCGGATGGAGACAGCGGCACGGACTACAAGACATTAGTCTGAGGCTTGAACCTGTCCAAACACTGTAGCCACTTTCCACAGCAGTCAAGGGCCCATGCCAGGGTTGAGGGTGTGGTCCTCAGTAGGGGTCATGCAGGAGGCAGCTGATTAATGATTCTCTCTCATCATTGATGTTTCTCTCTCTCCCTTCCTCTCTGAAATCAATAAAAATATATTTAAAAAAAGAAAATCAGGTTTCACTGGGGGGATAAGAACACATGTAATACCTTAATCAATAGAAAAAAATTTTAAAAAAAAGAAAATCAGGTTTTCTAGTATTAACATGTATAGTTCATATACCAGGTATACCTGGGAGAGACCCAGGAAAGATTAATTCGTAGACGTGGCTGAGAGCTCCCGTTTATGAGCATCTTCAACAAAGTACAGTCTTTTATTTTTATTTTTATTTTTTACAGAAAGAACAGGAGAAAGGATGCAGCTTTAGGCTTCTAAGGATGGCAAACTGGGGAGGTGAAATATATGTGAGGAAAGCAAGAGTCAGCTTCATTTGCAGGTTCCTCTTGTGCCCGTGGGCTGTCACCAGTCACTGAGGACCCAGTGGTCTCCACAATGTTTGTCCTGACTTTAGGCAGGAAAAGGGGATGGAAGAGAGAACTCATCCTGCACCTGATGCTTCGGATCAAAATCACTCTTGTGTCCCAGAGGCTACTGTGGGGTGACTACTCTGGTGTCCTTCACTGTCCTGTGTACAGTCCTGACAGTCTCCTTTTGAACTAGGTTTTCTCCCCGATGGTTCCCTTAACAATTAATTCTCCGTAGGAAACATTTACTGTGCTTTTGAGGCGTGGTGTATGGTTTTGGATTTTGCATGTTGGTAGCTGTCATAAGCTCAGTGGACAAAGACCAGTTTCTCTCTGTGACATAAACCAGGCCTCCATGTGCTGTTGAGGCCGCCACAGCGAAGCCAGAGAGGCTCGCTGACAACTCCTCTCGTTTGATTTCCCTGCGCTCGGACCCCGAGGATTGCAAGTCTGTTCCTTTCTCGCTACAGGAGGGTGTACGGCTGCACACCACTTCGGTGAGTTCGCAGTGAGCCTGTGTCAGTTCAGGGGTCACAACAGGCTGAGCCGTGAGTTACAGAGACCAGGACACTGGCCCAGAGCACTGGTGGGGCTTCTGGCTTTATTTGCAGCAACAGGCCAGTCCGGTTCGTAGGCCCCCCGGCTGTGCTGGAAGTGGTCTTGTTTGCTTCCTTGAGAAATGTGATCAGCTTCCCACTAAAGGCGGATACAAAATAAAAATGTCTGTTGAGTTTATACGCCACTTCAAAATGAGTGCATGAAAGCCAGGTTTCATTCAGTGCTGACTTTAGAGGGCTTTTCATTTTTTTCTGACGAGACAAATGACCAGGGGATGAAAAAATGTTAAGAATGCCCTCACCAGTGAAATTTAAAAAGCCCGCCCTGACGTGTGATTGGTCAGCTACCCCTCCTTTGTTCTATCATTTTTTTTTATTCATACTTGAGGCTGACAGTGAGTTTACTGGAAAATGCAGCCTATACATGAGGAATACACAGCAGACATGTCCGCAGAACAATTCCTAGCATGTCACGGGCAGTCCTAACTGATGTGCTGGCACACAATCACAATTGCTTTCGGTGCAAGGGAACGCCAGAAATTAGTTATGAATCTTTCCTAACATCTTTATACAAAGTGTGACCAATGGCTTAAAAAAAATGAACTTAGCACTTTGTGGCAGGAACATTAAAACCTTACCAAGCGGCTGTGAGCAAAATGTAGATTTAGACACGTCTCCTGGCCTGAAAGACTTCACCTTCTCAGGAAATATGGGCAGCTCGTCCCCTTCATACTGGGGAATGCAAGAGACCGAGCCTTTCCCTTTTAACCCCAAGCGTGTTGCATTGATCGCCTTAATTATAATATGGAGCACCTACAGCACTTTCACTGATGGTGACTTGGTTTTTATTTTAACTTTCAAGTGGCTAAGAACTGCTGCAAGCATGATTTCAATTAGCTGCTAAGGTCGGGAAAATGCAAGCCCTTTCAGTGAGAAGGTGGGTGGCTCTGAAAAGAGCCTTTGGTTTAGTTGTTTGCGTTGTTGCCAAAGGAACGCAGGGTCCTCACTTGCCCTTGGCCTTGTGGTGGCTCTCGGTCTTCTTGGGCAGCAGCACGGCCTGGATGTTGGGCAGCACGCCGCCCTGCGCGATGGTCACCTTGCCCAGCAGCTTGTTGAGCTCCTCGTCGTTGCGGATGGCCAGCTGCAGGTGGCGCGGGATGATGCGCGTCTTCTTGTTGTCGCGCGCCGCGTTGCCCGCCAGCTCCAGGATCTCGGCCGTCAGGTACTCCAGCACCGCCGCCAGGTACACGGGCGCGCCCGCCCCGACGCGCTCGGAGTAATTGCCCTTGCGGAGCAGCCGGTGCACGCGGCCCACGGGGAACTGCAGCCCGGCCCGCGAGGACCGCGTCTTGGCCTTGGCGCGCGCCTTGCCGCCCTGCTTTCCGCGTCCAGACATGCTGACCAGTAACAACAGGAGAACAGCCACAAGAAGAGAAAAAGGAAAAATGTCCGGGAGGAAGCAACAGGACGCAAGTTATAGTCCTGGGTGGGATTGTCAAACGCGAGATGGGATTGGTTCAAAATTATCAGAGTCCCCGCCAACCAATGAGAAAGGCGATAAGATGCAAGTGACTTTACATGAGCGCGTCACCGACACATCATCAAATCAGATCTGGAGATGCTTGAGGACCTCATTTGCATAAATTCTCTATAAAAGATGACGCTGTAGACCCCGGCGGACATTTTACAGTTTTCCGCTTTGCATTGCAGCTTTTCTCTTTTGCATTAAAATGCCGGAACCAGCCAAGTCCGCGCCCGCCCCGAAGAAGGGCTCCAAGAAGGCGGTGACCAAGGCGCAGAAGAAGGACGGCAAGAAGCGCAAGCGCAGCCGCAAGGAGAGCTACTCGGTGTACGTGTACAAGGTGCTCAAGCAGGTGCACCCCGACACCGGCATCTCGTCCAAGGCCATGGGCATCATGAACTCGTTCGTCAACGACATCTTCGAGCGCATCGCGGGCGAGGCGTCGCGCCTGGCGCATTACAACAAGCGCTCGACCATCACGTCCCGCGAGATCCAGACGGCCGTGCGCCTGCTGCTGCCCGGCGAGCTGGCCAAGCACGCCGTGTCCGAGGGCACCAAGGCCGTCACCAAGTACACCAGCTCCAAGTAGACGCGCGCGCACGCGGCCCGACTTCTGACCCAAAGGCTCTTTTCAGAGCCACCCACTTTTCAGCATAAGAGTTGTAAGGACTTCACTGGCCACTCTGACTGCTAAACAGGATGCCATACTGGTATCGTTTTGATTATTTTTATAAAAGTGTCTTGATGTCTTGTTCTTGCAACGGGAAGCACACTAGGACAGACGTTTGGTTAAAAACAAGAGGGGTATTAACTGGCTTAGTTGTAGACTTTTAATTTCTTCCTTTGGGTACTTGGGCTACAAAGGTGGCTAAAGCGCTGACATGCTGTCTCAAGTGCTGGGAATTCCTGTGTCTTACACATCCTTGCATGGAAAGGGAAGAGGACTTAGGTTGTTTAATAAAACTTCGTGGTCAGGGAAAGAGCTTCATCCTAGTCCCAGTGGGTGTGTTTGCTTAAAGCAACATAACTTCCCAAAACAACGTGCAGGATGGTTAACGAGCATGAAAGTTGAAAAGGGTTTCATTGGCTCCAGGTTAGTTCACGAATTCCCTGAAAGTGTTTGCAATAGTGCATGTACCTACGTGGTCTTCCCCTGCCCCATCCCCCACCCTGACCAGAAAGGGAACTGACTGTGGCTTTGTTTCTAATCCTAAACGTGCTGTAATGCAGGGTGCCAGGCAGAATGTGCCGCCTGGTGTATCCACCTCCTACGCGTTGGATTCTGTGATGGGTTAGGCTACCTGACAAAGGCCCTGCCGCTGCAGCTGAAACAGGTAGCCGCGAATTCCCTGTAATTTAAAATGAGATGCTCCAGGTGACCCCAGTGAGGCATTCAGAGTGCTGAACTAGTCAGGTGGCAGCCGGAGGAGGATTTGCCCAGAGACCTGCTTTGGAAATAAAGAGCTCAGCGGGGAGGGAGCCCTCCAAGAGCTGGAATGGGGAGCAAACAGTGTCCTTTGCACCCCACAAGGGAACGCAGCCCCCCGGAAACCTTGGTTTTAGCTCAAGGACACCCAGGAGCAAATGCTGATCTACACAACTATAAAGTTTTAAGTGTGTATTTCACCAAGATTGTGATAATTCATTGACCGACAATAGAAAATGAATGCCCTTACATACATTTAGAATGTATTGCCTAATGTGTTCAGTGATGTCTTTAAGATTATAAATTTATACCTGTAACTATTATAAAAATCAATATAGATGCCTGTAAACTTTATAAATATTTCAGGCGCTCATGATTTTGAAATTGATCTTATTTGAACAGCAGCAACCTGCATTTTCTTTTATGTGGGAGTCTACAATGTCTGAAGATAGCAGCAGAAGTCTAATTGTATGGAGAGGTACTTCATCTGCTGCAGTATTATTACTTCTGCTTATACTACTACTTCAAAAAGCTGGTCTTCATTATAGGCAAACTAATGGAGTCATGGTAAAATGTCCATAAATAACTTCGTGAACTGTAAATCTCCCTAAAATATTTAAATGTATTATAATGATTTCATGTGTTTTAACACAAGTAGCAGTGACGTAGATTTTAGGAATATTTTCATTTTATAAGGGTTAGGGTCGCCAAAGGAGGAACGCACGAGGCCAGAAGTGGTAAGGAATTATAACTTATGAGGCCATCTGGATAGCAGATGGGCTGAGCCCCCCAGTGGTGCCAGCACCCAGGGATGGGGTAGGGCATTGTCAGAGATTTTAATGGACTCTCGGGCTTTTTCTAGGCGGAGAATTCTCTGGGCGAATTCTCTAGAGGGGAAAGGTAATGGCCTTAGCAAGTGGACTGTGGTGTAAGAGAAAGGGAATGTGGGTTGTGAATTCATCTAAAGGCCAGTTCCTAGGGGAGGGGTGTGGAGTCAAGGAGTTGATCAGACCTAACAGTAAGTAAAACAACCGAGGGTGTGAGAACCCAAGTTCATGGCCCTGGCAGAGCTCAAGTTCCAACCCCAGTCTTCTGAAGCTGTGGCCTTCCAAAGACGTCCACATAGAATTAAAAAACACTTTTAAAGAGATCTACGGATTTCCTAGCACCTTGGGAAGTACCTTTACATAGGGTTTCTCCTCTCCCCAGCAACCGCTACCTGTTGTCTTGGTGTGTGTGTTCCAATTGATCTTTCATGTTTCCTGAGTCGGCCAACAGGGAAGCTTGGCTAGGCTCAGAGGTGGGCCTGCAGCCTGCACTTCCCTCTGGGTCCCGTGGAGCTGCGGGTGGTAAGCCCTCCCCAGCAGGCGCCCTCTCCAGCAAGGACCATGTCTTCCAGGGGGACCCACGTGCCTGAGGCTGAGAGGGGCACCCTAAGCATGTTCTTTAAAGTGTAAAATAGAACCAGCCCTTTACAGCCAGGGCGGCGAGGTGCCCTGGTGTCCGGAAACCAGAAAAGGATGGGTTATTTTTACAAAGATAATTTAATAAACGTGACACAGGTTTTGGGAAACTGAAAAGCAAGAGAGAACTGGTGTGCCAAGGACAAGGGAAGGAAGCAGGAGCCAGAGCAGGGCTCAGAGCGCGCACACATGTCAGTTATTAAAGTCTAGAAATCTGGAGGGGAGTCCCGGTAGAGATAAGGCTCCGATCTTGGGAGCAGGGGCTTATAAAGCTGATGCTGGAAGCCTAGAATCCAGACTGGGGGTGGAACGACGGAGGAGGGGGGGGGGGGGGGGGGGGGCAAAGCCAGGAACTGGAACCAGTTGTTGTGATAGAGGGGAGGGCATGCCATAAGAATGGAGCTGCCATTGTCTAATAATTCTCCTCACTAACTACGGTGAGAAGTTCTCTGACAGACCCTGGGACCCTGGAGGCTGGAAAAAGATAAGATGCCGCCATGGGTCCATGACTCAGAAAACAGACACATTGGAGAACAGGCCAAGGACAGGACACGCTTGGACTGGGTGGCTGTGCTGGGACCCTGGCCCCCTCCGGGAGTGTTTCTCAGGAGCGCTGACCATTCTCTGGGCCCAGGAACAGGCTGCGCTGTTTGTAACATCACCGACTAGACACCTTATCAGGGAGTGAGCTCCTGCAGGCCGGACTGCAGACTCTTCCCTCCCGTTCCCCTGCTACACATGCAGCGCGTGTGCATCGTGTGCATCTAACCAGCCAACTGCACGGGGCAGGGGGGTGGGGGGAAGAGTAGATTCTTGTGGGTGGCCTGCTGGTCTCCCTGCTGCCGGCAGGATTGGAATAAACGCTCATATGGGATTCAACCCAGTCTCTGCTTCATTGGCAGAAGTAGTGATCGACAGCCCAGATGGATACCTTGGTTCAATGGTTACAGTTGCCCCAGAAGGTAAGACCAGAGCTGACACAGAAGCAAACTAGAGCGCCCCCTTGTAACTGCCCCCTGCCAGCCCCGCTAGCTGTGCGTAGAAGCGACTGCAAATGAGTGTGGTGTGCACAACTCCAGCCTGTTTGCCCTAAAAACAGCAAGTCCCGGGAGCACTGGAGGCAGAGGAACAGGCCTACTGTACTGAGTACACGGGGCTCCCATACAGGTCTTCCTAGAAGGGACAAAGGCTCAGCAAATTCAGGCGTCATTGTGCTTGGAACAGAAAGGCATGCAATTCTTTCCCTGAGACTGTAAGCGGCTCTGAAAAGAGCCCTGAGTCAGGCGTCCACACCCTTAGATAAAACGCTTAGCAAGGGCTCTAAAGGCCGCGGGCACAGGGCGGGGGATGGGGATGGGGAAGTCACTGGAGCCACACAAAGGAAGGCGGGCGCAGAGCCACAGCGACACCTAGAGGACGCTCGTGGAGGCTGCCAGTGAGGCGCTTTGGGGGGACGCTTTACTGAAAACAGACCAGACATTTCAGGGTCGATTTGGAAGCTTTATAAAGCGTCTCTTGCAGCCCACACAGTCCCTGCGAAAACGTTAAAAAATGGTGGCAAGCAGCTTGAGGGGATTAGATGGTGAGACATACATGGGTTTCAGTCCACGCTCACAAACACGCATGGGAGCCTCGTACTGGACACTATTGTCCAGAAAGGTGGCCCTGCATCTACCACGTGGGGGACTCGGGGACCCCCTCCCGAGTGTCGGCACGAACGCTCAGGACTTGGACTTGCCAGTGCACAGCTCTCTATGGGAAATCGTGGGTGGCTCTGAAAAGAGCCTTTGGGTCAGGAGTGAGGCCGCGTGCGCGCGCGTCTACTTGGAGCTGGTGTACTTGGTGACGGCCTTGGTGCCCTCGGACACGGCGTGCTTGGCCAGCTCGCCGGGCAGCAGCAGGCGCACGGCCGTCTGGATCTCGCGGGACGTGATGGTCGAGCGCTTGTTGTAATGCGCCAGGCGCGACGCCTCGCCCGCGATGCGCTCGAAGATGTCGTTGACGAACGAGTTCATGATGCCCATGGCCTTGGACGAGATGCCGGTGTCGGGGTGCACCTGCTTGAGCACCTTGTACACGTACACGGAGTAGCTCTCCTTGCGGCTGCGCTTGCGCTTCTTGCCGTCCTTCTTCTGCGCCTTGGTCACCGCCTTCTTGGAGCCCTTCTTCGGGGCGGGAGCGGACTTAGCCGGCTCGGGCATGGTCGGGAGCTCAGCGGACTGGTTCAGCTGGAGAATGCAGTAGATGGAGGAGAGTTTGACTTATCCTTTTTATATACGAAGTGGTATGCAAATAAGGTGTTAAATTCTTGTGTGCAATTCGTGCATATTCAGAGTGACGTCATAAAGTCTGCCCAATCAGAATGCCAAATAGAGCTGTAGATTTAGCCAATGACACAACTGCTTTTTCGCGCCCACACATGTTTATAAAATGTGAGACCGCTGCACTTTCACTTTGCTGTCTGCTTTTTGCTGACACATTAAACTCAACATGTCTGGACGTGGAAAGCAAGGAGGAAAGGCGCGCGCCAAGGCCAAGACGCGCTCCTCGCGGGCCGGGCTGCAGTTCCCCGTGGGCCGCGTGCACCGGCTGCTCCGCAAGGGCAACTACGCTGAGCGCGTCGGGGCGGGCGCGCCCGTGTACCTGGCGGCGGTCCTGGAGTACCTGACGGCCGAGATCCTGGAGCTGGCGGGCAACGCGGCGCGCGACAACAAGAAGACGCGCATCATCCCGCGCCACCTGCAGCTGGCCATCCGCAACGACGAGGAGCTCAACAAGCTGCTGGGCAAGGTGACCATCGCGCAGGGCGGCGTGCTGCCCAACATCCAGGCCGTGCTGCTGCCCAAGAAGACCGAGAGCCACCACAAGGCCAAGGGCAAGTAAGGACCCTGCGTTCCTTTGGCAACGACGCAAATAACTAAACCAAAGGCTCTTTTCAGAGCCACCCACCTTCGCACTGAAAGGGCTTGCATTTTTTTTTTTCATAACCAGCTGCTTGGAAATGGTTTTTACCGTGTTTGGTCAGTAGATGTCAGTAAACACCCATAAGAGCGAAGTTAACCTCTGAAAAGATACATTAAAAGGAAAAGTTATCAGCCAAGTAGAAACAAAGGTGTTCGGTTTCAGGTAATTAAGCTGATCACTGTAGCAATAACTCAAGATTAAGATAAGAAACACATTGTATATAAAGGGGATGTTTGGTCAAAGGTGACTATTTAAATGCAAATATAGTTAATGACCCTCCGCAATAAACCACCTTTTCAGTCTCTTGTTGGTTAGTTTTGCATTTTAATAGGACAAATCACCTGTAAGTGGGTCTTCAACACTGCTGGGCCTTAACCGTTTGCAAATAGGAAACAATACTTTATGTGCCCGCAGTCGTGCCCTTTTCTTTATTTTTCAGTTTTGTTTATGCTATTACACCTATCCTCTTCCCGCCTCCACCCTCATGACCTTAGGCAGAACTTAACACAGGCTTCAGCCTTACTGTAAAAAGGCTTAGTAATCTTTGCAACATTCAAACACTTGAGTATTTTCTAAACATTTTACACAGGCATCAGGTAAAAGTGTCAAACTTAGTGGCATGCTTTCTGTGAGGATGCTGATTAATAGGGAATACACATATTAATGTAGTTACAACAGAAAACAAAATCACTTCAATTAATGGTCTTGTTGCATTTAGGGAAAGTATATGAAAACAGAACATTTAAAAATCTCCAAGTTGGGGGTGGGGAGAGGGAAAGTCTAAGGTCATATGGGGAAATCAAGAAATTTATATTGAAATCCGTCTTCCTAAACTTGAATGAGGCAAAAACAAGTCACTTAGCCAATCACATTTAGCGCGCGCCTTTTCAAATGAAACACAGGAAAGGCAGTTTAAGCGCCAAAATTTACAATTCTTATCAAGCGAACAACATACGTCTGTGATAATTTGTGCGGGGATAAAGCCACAATATTGTGAAAGAGACGGTACAAAGACGATGGAGGCGAAAAACGGTAGATAGAAAACCCCTTCTAACAGTGTGCTTGGGAGGAAAAAGTTAATTTTCGGTCTTAACCTACCGGAAGTCCCACCTATCCGGAAGTGATCGCCGCTAGCAATAACTTTACTCTGAGGCTTGATGGACAGATAACTGCTCCAATCAGAGCGGGACTCGCCTTATATATACTGGTTGAGCTCCCACTCTCCCCTTCATCCCCAGCTTCGCCTCTCCTTGCTTTGCCATGGCTCGGACCAAGCAGACCGCGCGCAAGTCCACGGGCGGGAAGGCGCCCCGCAAGCAGCTGGCCACCAAGGCCGCCCGCAAGAGCGCGCCGGCCACGGGCGGCGTGAAGAAGCCGCACCGCTACCGGCCCGGCACCGTGGCCCTGCGCGAGATCCGCCGCTACCAGAAGTCCACGGAGCTGCTGATCCGCAAGCTGCCCTTCCAGCGCCTGGTGCGCGAGATCGCGCAGGACTTCAAGACCGACCTGCGCTTCCAGAGCTCGGCCGTCATGGCGCTGCAGGAGGCGTGCGAGGCCTACCTGGTGGGGCTGTTCGAGGACACCAACCTGTGCGCCATCCACGCCAAGCGCGTCACCATCATGCCCAAGGACATCCAGCTCGCGCGCCGCATCCGCGGGGAGAGGGCGTAAACCGTCACCCAAAGTTCACCGAAAACCCAAAGGCTCTTTTCAGAGCCACCTACAACTTCACTTAGAAGTGCTGTGGGCAAAAGGGTGGGACTTTGTCACCTTCAGAGGCTCGTAGTTTCAAGGTAACTTGTGTTTGATAAAGGTTCTTTCCACCATATTTACCAGATGTAGCCAAAATCCTCTAAGTGCTGTGTAAACCCTCACTCCTTGGAACAGCACTTCACAAGCAAGCCCGAACGCCTCCGGGCGATGCCCGAGTGTAATTTTGCATAATCAGCAATGGGGGAGCCCCTAGCCTGAGGCAATTGGTAAACAATAGCTAGGAAGTCGCTCCGGGCATAGGGTCAAAGTAGCTTAGCGCACCGTTTTCACCCCTAAGCAAGACTGGTGAAATGAGGCTAAAACGTGTGTATGGAAAGGGTTATAAGCTTTCACCTTAAGGCACAACGCAAGAAATACAAGTCGGAAAAAAACACGCTGAAACTTGTGGTGGGAAATGAGGCTTTAATTTTCACAATTAAAGAAAAACAGCTTTTTTTTCTTTAAGTGCAGGCAAGTTTGTGTACTTTTTATTCACAACTTCTCACATGGTATCACCGACTCCTATTCAGCAATAAAGTCTTTTCTGGATACCTGGCTGGGTCAAGGGCAAATAGTGGAGCCCTGGATAAGCGAGCGCTGCCCAACCTTAACCCCAAAAGCACTTTAGCGCGCCAAACCCTTCACTGGGAAAGTAAACGTGTACTTACTCAACACACAGACCACCAAGCACCAGGCGCAACGTGTAAGAACAGCCTCAGGCCCGCCGCCTCCCACCCCATCCAGGGAATGTGGTGCCACCAGCTCTTTGTCTGATGACGTGGGTGGCTCTGAAAAGAGCCTTTGTATTCACGGAGTCAGACGGGTCCTCACTTCTTGGGGGCAGCCTTCTTGGTCTTGGCAGCTTTCGGCTTGGGGGCCTTGGCCTTGGCGGCTTTGGCCTTGGCCGGGCTCTTGGCCGGCTTCTTGGGCTTGGCGGCCTTCACCTTCTTGGGGCTCTTGGCCGCTTTCTTGGCTCCCGCCGCCGCCGCCGGCTTCTTGGGCTTCTTCGGGGTCTTCTTGGCGCTCTTCTTGGGGGTGGCCGAGCCCGCGGGCTTCTTGGGCTTCTTGGCCGCGCCCGCGGGCTTCCTGGGCTTGGCCGCGCCCGCCTTCTTGGCCTTGGGCTTGGCCTCCCCGGAGGCCGCCTTCTTGTTGAGCTTGAAGGAGCCCGAGGCGCCGGTGCCCTTGGTCTGCAGCAGGGTGCCCTTGCTCACCAGGCTCTTGAGGCCCAGCTTGATGCGGCTGTTGTTCTTGTCCACGTCGTAGCCCGCGGCCGCCAGCGCCTTCTTGAGCGCGGCCAGCGACACGCCGCTGCGCTCCTTGGAGGCGGCGACCGCCTTGGTGATGAGCTCGGACACCGGCGGCCCGGACGCCTTGCGCTTGGCGGCCCCGCCGGACTTGCGCGGCTTCTTCTTCGCGGGCGTCTTCTCCGCAGAAGGAGCGGGAGGCGCGGTCGGTGCGGTCTCGGACATGGTCGTCGGCGAGGAAACCTGGCAGATTAAAAAAAACGAGTCTGCGAGCGGCGCGGCCGGTGCGGAGAGCGTCTATATAAACACACAGCCACGCCGCGCGCTGATTGGCTCCCGGCTCCCTCTTCCGCCCCAGAGCAGCTGGGTCTCAGCTCCGTCTCGGAATTGTGTTTGTTCCATTCCAGGAAAGCCAAAAAATTAAAATTTCCTGTGGAAGAACCACTGCAATTTTACTCTACAATCCACCGGGACAGGTCAAGCTTTGAGGCCGTCATACTGTCGCCTTTCGATTAGCATCACGTCGGGCTCAGCCTTTGTCAAAAGCCCCCGACACTCTCAGAGATTCACAGATCGGAGAGTCCACTTGTTGATTTTCGTTTAAAATATAAAATTTTCCCCGTGTGCCTCCAAGATCTTGCCCCCCAGTAATGTTCTATACCTTCTTGGCTTGTCATACATGTCAGCATCTGCTGCATTCTCCCTGAGATTTACCCAGAAAATCGCCTTCCTAGGAGAAGAAATAGCACAGGCTCTCTCAGGATTTGTCCACAAGAGCAGTCCGAAAGGGTGCTTGGAATCCCAGTGATTTTTCACCAGAAAAGCCTTTGATTTGTCTCAAACAGCTTTAGCACAGCTTTTGGCGACTATTTTTGGCTGTAAGGAGTCAATATTTATTTAAAGTAGATGGGGGATGTAGTAATCAATGCTTGTCTTTTAGGGCAGTTGGGCCTGTTACAGTAGCTGATGGCAGAATAGATGCAGGTAAAGGCATAAAGAGAGTTGGTGCTTTCTACAGGTTAAAAAAATCCTTTTTTTTTTTTTTTTTTTTTAAAGAGGGGGATGTTAATCAAATGTTCATGGGCTTTTGGGCACAGAAGTCTGTCATGCTTGGGGAAGATACATTTGGCAAGAATTCAAGTAACAGCAGCATTAAGGAACATACACAGCACACACACTCACTTCTGTAGGATTCCTTTAGGACAGGGACATTTAAAAGCAAGAATGTTCTATAGTTACTACTAAAATTCTTATTTAAGAAAGGATATAGGTTTATAGGCAGCACATTACAGCTTATGCTTTCTGTTCAGTAAGATACAGGTTGATGGTAGAGTTGTTAGGACAAGAGTCTCACTGGATGCTATTTTTGCTAAATGCTGAAATACAGCACAGTGTTTTGTAGACACAGAAACAGCCAAGGAGCTTGACAGGAATCAAATCTGGTAAATGAACAGCAAAGGAGAAATCAGCATGTATTTAACCAAATAGTCTATGAGCACTGGCTAAGCCTCCTGCAGGGGACAGAGCTTTGGCTATGCATCCCTGTCTCCTCCACCTGCTGCAAATTAATAAAAGGACAGGCCCACAACTGTCTTTCTTGAACCGAACAGCCCAAGAGGCAAACTCCTTCAGTTTGGTAACAGTGATTTGATTTTCTTTTTCGCTCCTCAAGCTCTATGCTCGTCGTCAACGCTCGTCATCAACAAGCTCGTCATCATAGTTCCACTCGGACTATGAAAGGGAAACGCTGGGATACTACACGACTCGGCAAAGCACAGGAAGTTAAGCTTTCTCCTTGACCCATCGATGTGTCTCTGTTACATCAATGTTTTCTCTCTCTCTCTCTCAGCAATATAAAGACATATCCTTAGGTAGGATTAAAAAATGTTTGTAAATCAATAAATAAAATTTAAAAAATATTAAAATATATATGGATTACAAAAACACCATATTAAACTACTGTTATTAAGTTTATCAAAAGTGCAAATCAGGGAAGTATTAACATGTATTAACATATGTTCTTCTTTATCAATACATTAAACAAGATTACCCATATGACCAAGAATTAGAGTTTGATGGAGTGATATATTTAAATTATGTTTTGAGATATCAATAGCTGTAGATGCATTGTGATATGACTATAGCACAGGTCTAGCCAATTATACTGTTAACTGTTTTCATAAACAGAGGAAATGCTACCATTCCGTTGGGGGATATTAAGAATAAAGATCAAGGTGTTTTTTTATACACAAGTTCTCAGACCCTCTGAATCCTGTCTGAATTCCCAGGTTAAGAACTCCACTCTGGAATTCGTTTCCACAGAGTGTGTTTTTTGTTGTTGTTGCTTTCTTTAAAAAAATAAATACTTAAAAACATTTTGTACTGACTATTTAGAGAGAGAGGGAAAGACAGAGAGAAATATTGCCCAGATGAGGGAGGGGGCCGCAGCCAAGACATGTATTCTTGACCAGAATCGAACCCAGGACCCAGGAGCCTTCTGTCCACAGGCCGGTGCTCTGCTCACTGAGCCAAACCGTGAGGGCTCCTTATACTGTGAACTCCTGGAGCAACTTTGATGCGAGCTTGGTCCTCCTTACAAACCATGGAGAAAAGCCGGGTCTACCCAGAGTCAGCTGGAACTTCTCAACGAAGTGAGTGAAGAAGTAAATATATACGTATTTATTGTTGTGAATTGTTCTCAAAAGAAGTGCGGGGTTTGGGAGGAGCACTCCCATCAGTGTGCCCCTTGGCATACAGATAATTCGGAGCTGAAATCAACTGAAGCCCAACACAAACAGGAAAGTGTCTCCTTTTTAAAAATAAAAATATTTTTATTGATTTCAGAGAAGAAGGGAAAGGGGGAAAGATAGAAACATCAATGATGAGAGAGAATCATTGATCGCTGCCCTCTGCATGCCTCCAACCAGGGATGGAGCTTGCCACCCAGATATGTGCCCTTGACAGAACTGAACCCAGGACCCTGCAGTCTGTAGGCGGAGGCTCTATCCACTGAGCAAAACCGGCCAGGGCAGTGTCTCCTTCTTAATGAGATTCGGATAGAGAAGCCTGCTTTAGGAAGGGAGCCAGAGCATAATAATTTCAGAAAACACACTTTAGAACAAAAGAATTAACTATGAAAGTCAGGAAGGACCTGTGCAAAGATCTGTTCATTGCATTTCCCTTTGCACCGTTGTTTCTGAGTTGTCTAGCATGAAATTTTTCCCCACTTTCGTTACCTGCAAATTGCCTATTTCTCCTTTGAAATCTCAAAGCCCTTCTCCCCTTTCTCCTTTGTTCAAAATGACATATAAACTTCATTTTGCCCATCTTTGGGATTTTCATAATTCCCCCTGTGGATGTATTACATTTTGGCTTTCTCCCATTAACCTGTCGCTGTTAATTGGATTAGCCCACCTAGAACTCTGAAGATGGGAGGAAAAATTTTTCATAGCCCCACACAAAGATTTAGCAAATTAGGATCTGTCTTAGTACTCATCATTTTAGAGGAGTGCATGTTGGGGAGAGGAATAATTAATGATGTGGCTGTTTTATTTGTGTGTGTGTTTTCAGATGTTAAACAAATTGCATGGCTTCGATCTTTATGAGGAACAACATGCACGAACTCATGACTTCATATTTTGGGAGCCCTGAAGGACAAGTGTCAGGCTTCCTTGTGGAAAGTGTATGGAACGGCCCACTTAAAGGCTTCAAGTGTATGCAAACTACACATATGCACACGCCGTAGCATTGATTAGATTCCCCCTCCCGGACTCAGCGTGGCTTCCGGCGCAACACCGGTTTCCACAGCTCGGAGCCGGAACAATGTGCAAAGGGCAGGAACTGAGTGGATTGCCACGCCTGCTATTAAGGTTTCAATCAGGTCCGTCCCTCGACTATAAAAAGACTGAGCGGCGCTCACCACACCATTGCGCTACCAGCTGAGCAGTTGGGGAGTCACGATGTCCGGACGCGGCAAAGGCGGGAAGGGCCTGGGCAAGGGCGGCGCCAAGCGCCACCGCAAGGTGCTGCGCGACAACATCCAGGGCATCACCAAGCCCGCCATCCGGCGCCTGGCGCGGCGCGGCGGCGTCAAGCGCATCTCCGGGCTCATCTACGAGGAGACGCGCGGGGTGCTCAAGGTCTTCCTGGAGAACGTGATCCGCGACGCCGTCACCTACACGGAGCACGCCAAGCGCAAGACGGTCACGGCCATGGACGTGGTCTACGCGCTCAAGCGCCAGGGCCGCACCCTCTACGGCTTCGGCGGCTGAGGCCCAAACTACTACCTTCGACAGCAAAACCAAAGGCCCTTTTTAGGGCCACCCACCCCTTCTTTTAAAAGAGCTGTTACTTTTAACTGCACTGTCTTGTCTTCGCGGCGGTTCAGGTAGTCACAGGCTTGTAAGTTCCTTCACCTGCGAATGTTTCCCCTCTACGTTTCTTATGGGCAGTTGGGAACAGTGCAACCCTGCAGCCCGGCGTACGCCCTTTCCAGGGGTCAAACCCAGACCCTCTGTCTGATGGCTGGAACCCGGCCCACTGACCCAGAGGCAGTGCTACTTCGCCGTTTTGAGAGTAAGTGGTGGCAGGGAAGCGTGTATACGAAGGAGTGTTTCTCAAAGGACAGCGATGCCACCTCTTACTGCTTTAATGTGGGGTGTCCTGCCCCTATGTCACTCCCAGAAGTAACCCTCTGCGGTTTCCAGGTAAATGAGGGAAGGGAAGTCGCGGTGTTTCCTGTGGGTTGCAGTCTGCTCAGCTTCACTGGTTCACAGGCCGTAGGCTTCCAGACCCGAGTGCCCAGCGCATGGACGTTGAACCCGGCATACGTGCCCGGTTTGCCTCACGTAAGGTGTATGTATGTATACTTTAAAGAAAGGCATAGAAAAGCATTTTCTATTCCCACATTACTTACTACTTCCCCTCCACGTCCAGACTGGCCCGGGCCCCTCTCCTGACCAGGACCTGGAGACCGGATGGGAACTGGAAAGTGACGGTGCGAGAGGGCGCGCTGGAGGCTGCAGACAAGGAACCTGGTGGAGACCGCGTCCTGGGAATTGTGCTGCAGGTCTGGTCTGTGAGACGAGGCGTAAGTGCGGAAGGGATTGTGTGCTTTGCCGTTAAAACCAAAACACACACCTAACTCTTAAGCGCCTCCTAAAAACATCAAGGAGGTCGAAGCAGGTGCCGTAACCACTGCTCTCCCCGGGGCGCTGCAGGCGCCCAACATGTCTCTAAAGACCCCGAGAGACAGCGCCGGGCGAGTCCCTAACGCCCAGGCCCGGCGGGGTGGGGGGGAGGAATTAGCGCCGCAGCGACACCTAGAGGCGCTCCCCCACCCACACACGCCGGTCCAGCGCGGGCTTTTCAAACGCTGGCGAGGCCTTCGGCGCCCAGTGATGACGTTTATTCCGGGACCCGAGGCGCCGCGGCCCAGGTAGAAGCCGCGCGGGGAGCTGCGCCTCCAGCCGACGGGGCAATGGCAAGAGGTGAGCACGCGCTGCGTCTCAGCCCCATTGGGTTACACTCCCCGGGCCCGAGCGCGCGGCAGGGCTGCCAATGGAGGGGACATGAGGGGCCGGGGACGACCTCTGGAACGTCGGGCCCAAGGCTCAGCCCCAGGACTGGCCGGCGCACAGCTCTTTACGGGAAGGCGTGGGTGGCTCTGAAAAGAGCCTTTGGGTCAGGAGTGAGGCCGCGTGCTCGCGCGTCTACTTGGAGCTGGTGTACTTGGTGACGGCCTTGGTGCCCTCGGACACGGCGTGCTTGGCCAGCTCGCCGGGCAGCAGCAGGCGCACGGCCGTCTGGATCTCGCGGGACGTGATGGTCGAGCGCTTGTTGTAATGCGCCAGGCGCGACGCCTCGCCCGCGATGCGCTCGAAGATGTCGTTGACGAACGAGTTCATGATGCCCATGGCCTTGGACGAGATGCCGGTGTCGGGGTGCACCTGCTTGAGCACCTTGTACACGTACACCGAGTAGCTCTCCTTGCGGCTGCGCTTGCGCTTCTTGCCGTCCTTCTTCTGCGCCTTGGTCACCGCCTTCTTGGAGCCCTTCTTCGGGGCGGGCGCGGACTTGGCGGGCTCGGGCATGGTCGGGAGCTCAGCGGATGCCTCCGGTTAGAGGAGAAAGTAAAGAAAGACGGATGTATCCCTTTATATAGAACTTGGTATGCAAATATAAAGCAAGATCTTGTGTCTGATTGGTGGATATTCAAAGTGACGTCAAAAATTATCTCTGTCCAATCATGAACGCGAGTCCCAAATTTGAATTTTCAGTGATTTAAGATGAAGCTGCAATCTTTTCCCCACTGATAAAATCAAGGTATTTAGATGAACCATCACGATTTCTCTAGTTTAATTTTTAAAGAATGTTCGACTACCCTATCTCTTTTTTCAATTTTACATATGTATATATATATTTTTTATCGTGGACAGCGTTACAGATATCTCCCAATTCTCCCTCTCCTCTATCTCTCCCCTCCTCCCAGGGCCTACCCACTCCCAGGTCTTCACCACCCTATTGCCCTTTGGCTACCCATACAAGTGTATAAGTTCCTTGGTTTACCTCTTCTCTGTTTTCCCCCCCCACAAGAGGTATGCCCGTCTCCTCCATCCCTCCCTGCTCCGGGCTTGTTTTGTTGTCCAGTTCATTTGTTCATTAGATCCCACAAATTAGTGGTATCATGTGCTAGCTGTCTCTCAGTTTGGCTGCAATCTTAAGCAACGACACAATTCTTTTTCACGCCCAAATGGGTTTATAAAAATACCGCCCCTGCCTTTGCCTCTGTTTCCCTGTTGGGGGCAGGAGTCAGGAAAAAAAAGGCTGGTTCCCCATCGTCCAGACTCGCCGAGGGCAGTGTTGTTTCATGATGCAGAAACATAAAGTGAAATTAAAGGGCAGGGAATCAACCGTGGAGAAAGCACAATAACAGAGATAAGGGAGGAATTTGTTGGCCAATATGGTTACAGTGCTTCACACTGACAAGTGTCAAATCATTCCCAGTCTAGCCACAGAGGAGGATCACATAGTTTTTCAGTCTAACTTGTGAAGCGATTTTTAAAAATAAACTGAAGAAAGCTGGTGTTTAACGGCTAAAAGAAGTTATCCTTGTTTATCAGAATCGGTTTCTCTGCCAGTCCTTCACGTCCCATCTTGTCGCAGGGAGATGTATTCTTTCGGATTTCGGCTTCGTCCCCCCCTCCCCCCCCAACAGCCTGTGGCAGCCTGGCCCCCAACAAGACCACACTCCTGAACTTAACAAGTCTTATCTTTGTTTCCTAAAATAGTTCACTTGCCTTCTCACCTCCATGTGGAGGAAACCTCCCAAAGACCCTTTCAGCTTCATCCTGTCTCCCTCAGTGTCCAGCCCAGGGGTGGGCAAACTTTCTGACTCGAAGGCCACAATGGGTTCTTAAACCGGACCGGAGGGCCAGAACCAAAGCATGGATGGAGTGTTTGTGTGAACTAATATAAATTCAAAGTAAACATCATTATATAAAAGGGTACGGTCTTTTTTTTCTTTTTTTTTTAGTTTTATTCATTTCATTTCATTTCATTTCAAACGGCCGTAGTTTGCCCACAGCTGGTCCAGAACAACAGCGAACGGCTTTATTAGTGTTTGTTTAACCATAAGCCCCTCCCTGATTGAATTTTACTTTTTCGGACAAGGAAACGAGCCATATACGTAAAGCAGCGGAAACTGAGTTTTTGTGTGAATAGAAAAGCGTTCCCCTCACCTCTCTAACTGCCTAGGTAGCTACTGCTGTTTTATTCAGCCCCGGGAGCTGGTTCATAAGTGCTTGTCTGTAGAGCCACAAATCCGTGACCTGCTGTCCCTGCCACGGCCCAGCTGCCTCCAACCCGACTTCTCTGCCTCAACTCCTCCCGGGCGCCGCCTGCAGCATTTCCTGTGCAGCCTGGGTGCCAGAGGCATGGGCCTGACTCCCACTGACCCTCGCTTCCCAGTGATTTAGTAGCTTCCTTTCTGTTAGGGTCGCAGACGGAGGAACACAGGAGGCCGAAAGGGGTACGAATTATGAAGTTATTAGGTCACCTGGGAAACCAGATGGGCTGAGCCCCGCATGGCGGCAGCACCCAGGGGCGGGGAGTCAGGGGATTTTAAAGGGCTCCAGGCGGCTTTTCTGGGTGGAGAATTCTCTGGGCGGGTCCTAGGGGGAAGATAATGGTCTCAGCAGGTGGAATGTGCTCTAAGCAAAAGGGAATGCCGGTTGTGAATTGGTCTCAAGGTCAGTGCCCATGGGACGAGGTATCAAGTTGAAGATTTGGATGCGATGATTTGATCTGACATTTTCTTCTAGGGCCTGGCTACTCAAATTGGGGTCCCTGAACGACCAGCAGCAAGTCACCCAGAAACTGGTTGGAAATGCAGAGCTTCAGGCTCCACCCTTGACCTACAAGCCAGACTCAGCACCTTAAGGAGACCCCCACTCGCCTGGCTGCAGTGGAAGCAGGTGCTGAGGGTCTTTGCTCTTCACGGCAGGGAAGGGGGGGCTGGGAATAAACAAAGGACAGGAAGGAGCACGTTCCCCCGAAATATCTTCTGTTTTCCACACATGGTTTTAAACACCCCCCCCCTTTTTACTTTTCCTCAAGGAAATATTTATTGCCTATTATCAGTGATCATATTTGACAGAAAAATTAAGTGTATACACTTGTCAAAAACATAACATTGAAATCAAGGCATCTATCACATTTACATGCAAACTCGCCCTGGTTTTCAGAATTCAGCCGTCCATCGAGATTCTGGTCCAGGGCCACCCTCCATGGTTTCCGATAACTGAGGGTCTCGTCAGTCATTGGAACAAATTCTTCTTTGTATGTGACAATCGTTTCTACAGGAAACCCTTTCGGGCTCAGGTATTTCATTGCTTAGCTCTAATTCATCACTTGGCCCAGGGCTTTCATATGTTGCGACATCCTTATTGTTCTACGTCATCACCTAATTGTTTGTGCTTCTCCCGTCCCCCGACCCTGACCGGAGCGAAAGTCAAGGAGCCCAGCAGGGTGCAGGTGCCCACTGCCTCTGCAGCCTGGCCAGGACACAGGGCGCTGCGGGCAAAGGACCAAACACTCTTCCTTTTCGGTTCTTTGTTGTCAGTTATTATTAGCATTGCCATTAGCTTTTCTTTTCTTTTTAATTTAACTAGCTGAGAATGTTAGTGTGTTTCCACTTGGGGTAAAATTGAAAGCCACCAATTGTGAGACAAAGCTCTGAAGTGAAATCCACACGGATCCCTTCAGCTGTGGAAATTTCCCTTCCTGATTTCATCCTCCCCATGAGATTTCACCAGGAGAAGGGCACTTCTCTGTGCAAATGAATGTGAATATTCGGTGCCTCATGCATGTTGCCTGGAAACACAAGACGTTTGTGGTCCAATTCATGTCCAATTAAGGAAAAAGATGAGTCCTACAGTAAAAGCATCAAGTCAATGACCCTTGACCATTTGCCCAAGTGTAACCACTGAGTTTATAGGATTTAAATAAGGGTATGAGGACCAAGCAACTAATTTTAAGTGTGTGGGTCATAAATAGAGAAAAGCCACAGGCCCAAAATGACACAACTCATGGCAAAAGCTCAAGATAACAAACTTAGATTTAATAACTTGTTACAGCTAAGCCCCTCTTGTACTGGGGAAATGGAACCAACTGTGGTCGAGGGTAGTTTAGGGTACGGGGCAAGTTGATATTAGTAACTAGAGAAACGGGGCAAGTTGATATTATTAGCTAGGGAAACGGGGCAAGTTGATTAATGAATACCTTGGTAACGGGGCAGTGTTGATTAATGTATCCCAGGTAACTTTGTGTGTGTTTAGCCAACCGTTGTATGGTTTTTGGGAATAAAAGGCTGGCCTAGAACCAGGGTCAGTGCTGTCGTGGGAAAAACCGCCTACGGCAGTCGCTGGCCAGTTTTCAATAAATCCTCACTTGCTGCTTAAGACCTAATTGGAGTTGGTGGTCTAACTCTCGCGAACATTGGTCCATAACAAACTGACATAACTACAGTTTCAGTCTCTCCCAGACAGGTAATCTTCCCCCCGCCCCCCTCCCTTCTTTTTTTTAAATTTAATATGTTTTATTGATTTTTTGACGGAGAGGAAGGGAGAGGGATAGAGAGTTAGAAATGAGAGAGAAACATCGATCAGCCGCCTCCTGCACGCTCCCCACTGGGGATGTGCCCACAACCAAGGTACATGCCCTTGACCAGAATCGAACCTGGGACCCCTCAGCCCGCAGGCCGACGCTCTATCCACTGAGCCACACCGGTTCGGGCCCGCCCCCCTTTTTTTAAGGTGAAAGGAGAAACGGAATCTTAATCAACTGGTCCGGAATTTTCCAGTCAAGTACCAGTAAGGTAATCAGTCTAAGAAGGCTCCTCCTTAGGCATCTGCCTGATAAACATCCTCTCATCCTCTTCCCCCAAAGAAAAGACACCTCAGCCCCAGAACACACCTTTCTTTTCTTTTGTAAATCGCCTCCTTGCCCCACCTTCTTCCTATGGAAACTTGGCAGGTTGTGCAACCCCTGAGAGCCCCTTGCAGTAGCTAAAAGCCTTGCTGTCTGCGGCCTGACTCATGAAACGCTAAAAGATAATCAGACCTAATTTATTTGGCTGAATTTTGTGTTGCCACAGACGAACCTGGGCTCTATATAACATTGAAGAGTGGTGAGGATTGACCGAAACTGGAGTGGTCATTCCACGTGCACATGAGTTTAGTGAGTTACACAGGATACGGGCCAGACAAAATAGTCCAAGAATTGTGTTAAATGAAAAAGAGGTTCAGACTTGGTAAGAAGATACTTTTTTGGAAAGAATTATGGGCAGGATGAAAGGGATTATTGCTATAGGCCCGGGGGACTTGCTTAAGGTCTGGATGCGTCTCAAGGTTAGGCAGAAGGGATTTTCTTCAGATGGGAGAGTTAGCAAGATTAGGAACCAGCCAGTATAGGAAGATGAGGCGAGAACGTGATTTAATTGGAAAGCAGATCAGAAAATATTTTAGCCTGAGGTCTTCCAATTCTCTGGAGGGACCCTCATGAAGGTGGAGGGTGGGTCAAGGTTCTGGAACCTGGGGTCACGGAGAAAATGCAACCTTTGGCCGACAAGCCTATTATTCTGATTGATTAGTGGGGATTAGCAGTTCAACTAATCATCTGTGAATTAAAGAGTGGGAATTGGGAGGACTGTGTCATAGGTCAACAGTTCACCCTTGAAGCCTAAGGCTCTGGGGGAGACGTGGTTCCCTGCTGTGAGCCTCTTCTGGAATACTGGAGGGGTGGGGATTTCTCTAACCTTCGCCTTGTTCGAGGATCTCAAGTCTCAGATAAAAGTCAATATTGTCAGGCACATTCAATGATATCATATAAATCTTGATGGACCTGATGTTTAAAAACGTTAACAGTGTACAGAATTGAACACACTTGGTTTTAATTTAATCTGAAATTAAATTTAACTGAACAATTATCAATAAAAAGGCAAGTTGGATGCCGTGGGAATGGCCTCTCCAGGTAGTTTCTGGGTCCAGTTATGATCGATCCTTTGATGAGCTGGAGAGAGTTACTTGGGCCACAGGATTGTTAATTGAAAAACAAAAATCGAGTCCTTTGCTTTAAATAAGTGGATTTCTGTGATGGACTTTTCCCCATAAACATTCTCTCCAGATCCAAGAAGTGACTGATGTTTTAAGTTCTACATAAAATATAACTCTACACAATGGTAGATATTAACTTAAATGTAACATGTAGTTATTTTGTTACATGATGTGGCCTCATGGACGTTTTATGTTTTCATTTGCCTTTCTCAGAAAAGTATTGTTAGAGTTTTAGAATATGTACAATATTTTGTCTTTTTATGATGTTTACTTTAAAAGCAAAAGAACATGTGTAATAAAAATGTGCATTAGAAAGTCCTACGTTTATTTGAGTCTGAAAATAAGATGCATGGATTTAAAAAATAATAAAGAAAATAAGAATGAGGGGGAAATATGGCTCGGACATGTTCACGGAGGACAGCAAGTATAGTCATGCTGATATCACACATTTCGAGGCTGAAAGTGCCAGTAGGGCTGGGGAGGGACACTCCGGGGAGCTTTATTTCCAACGTGGAAAACAAGGTACTATTCTGGAAAACAAAATACCTAAGGACTAGATAAACTGCAAAGCCAGAGAACAAGAAACCAGGGAAAACGCTGGAAATTTCCTGGAATAGAAACCTAGGCGGTGAAACCAGTGATGAGCACAACAAACTGGGTTCCCTGGGCCGAATTCCATGATCAGGATCCTGAGCTTTGTTACCCAAAGTCTGCCCCCCCGGGGAGCGGGCCCTTGGACTGACCTGGAGACACCGAGCATAAAGCCAAGGCCGGCGAGAAAGCCTAGGGTAGAGGGAAAAATTATATATTGAAAAATTCCTCAGAAGGAAATCTGTCTGGGCAGGGCTCTGTGGTGGCGGCTGTAGGACTTCTGCCGAAAGGGTTTAATCACACACCTGAGTGTAGAGATTCAGGGAAAGCTGCTGGAAATTAAAAATTGGCGCGGGCTCGTAGCGCCACCTACTGTCTAATGAAAGCAAAGACAAACCCCTTATGGACACAGTTTCCAAAAGGGAGAGAGTAAGGACCTTGAGAATGCGATGGACAACTTTTACAAAAATTAAACTTAACATTAAAGGATAATTTCCAAGAAAAAAAGATAAACAAGTTGTGATGACAAGGAAATCTCTCCTGCACCCTTCAATCCAAATGACACCAGGCACAGTTGGCTTTACAGGTTTTAGTGAAATGTGAGGAACTGATAATCCCTATTTAACAAGGCGTTTCCATTGAAAAATAATGTCTTCCCCTTTTTCCCCTTTGAAAATGCATAACGTCATTATCTAGCCTAGATAGAAACAAAGGAAGAGACAAAAGAATAAACTATAGTCTTGTCTTAGGAACATTCATTTAAAAAGTGCTATTTAAAGCACAAATGAAAAGCAAGAGGATATGTTATTTAAAAAAATAACAGTATACCTGTAGGGCTTATTCCAAGAATGGGAGAAAAGTTTGACATCATAAATCTTCCAGTGAGAGATACTGGAGAAAAACTATGTGGTCGTCATTGATACAGTGGACGTATCTGCTAGCAGATAACACTCATACTTTAAAAAAAAAAAATTATCAGACATTTTCAGTATACTGAGAGTGAAAAGGAGTAGCTACTTCATAAGGAGCGGCTACAGTGTGAATGATGTTTAATGATCAGTTTTGGAAGGATTCCCCAAAAGCCAAAAAGGAAGACGGAAGTTCTGCTTTTGTGGTACTGCTCCTATTCGACATGGCACCAAGGGCCCTGCCAATCTTTCTAGGCCAAGACAGGAAGTACTGATGACAGGGATTCGGTAAGAAAAGATGTTATCTTTCTTGTTTGAAAATAACGTCGTTGCAAAAGTCCACGGGTTTGTACAAACGATTCGATCTCACCGATCGCTACGGGGGTGGTGGACACAGGAAATCAGGCCTTCCCGCGACTTCAGCAGTGACCCATCCCGAATGGAGATGGAAAAGCCTCTCACCATTTACAGCACAGCAGGCGAAGGATTCTGAGACCAGGAAAAGCCCTCCAGATCTATAGAAATAAAACGATGAAATGTCACTGAGGGATCCACACCAAGACTCACTCGAATTGATAGCTATGCAGTGTTTACGTCCTGTGGTGACTTAATGTGCTCACATGCTCCTAAGTTCCAGAATAACCGAAACGGCAATGTCGTGCCCCAGCCTGATGGATCGTCGGTGAAGCAATTGTACATGTCATGTTGATGAGCAAGAATAGTCCAGATGCCCCCTCCCTCCCCCCCAAAAAATGACACACCACAATAACAAAAACCCAGAGGCAGCAATAAAGACTGGCGGGTTCTGATTCGGGGCTGAGCTTTAGGGGGGGCTGGGTGATCCCCAGACGCAGCCTCGGGAGTCAGAAGCGACGCGGGTTCGCTCAGGTCTGTCGGCCGAGCTGACCGGAGGGCGCAGGGCCTGGCTGGAGCGGGTGTCAGTGTCTCCCCAGCGACCCGGGACGATGACTTAGATCAGTGGTTCTCAACCTTCCTAAGGCCGCGACCCTTTAATACAGTTCCTCATGCTGTGGTGACCCCCAATTTCATTGTTACAAATTGAACATAATGAAAGCATAGTGATTCATCACAAAAACAATATGTAATTATATATGTGTTTCCCGATGGTCTTAGGCGACCCCTGTGAAAGGGTCATTCGACCCCCAGGTTGCGAACCGATGGCCTAGCGTTCCCCACAGACATGTACTTCTGTGCGGTGCTGAGAGCAGGACCTGGGGTAAGACCGTGGGACGCGGGGCACGTTGAGCGAAGCTTCAGGTGAATCGGTAAATCCGTGAGTGAGATCGGGATGACATGTGTCAGGAGAATGACGAGTGAACATCTGGAAAGCACTGGGAACATCTGGGCGTTTGCAAAATAATCAATAAATAAAATGCGGATGAACAGGGGAGGGTTGTGTGCCACCTGCACCAGAGTCTGAACCGTCTTTTGAGGCGGTTTGCGTGGCTGTTGGGTATTAGCATGTCTGCGAAGGGCAGTTCTCGGGGTGAGCTCCGGCCCAGGCGCTGGGGCGTCACCTGGGAACAGAAATGCAGACGATCGGGTTCTGCCGTCAGTCTAGGGGCTCAGCGCGCCCTCGGCTTCAGACTGCTGTTTCCCTTCGTTCAGGAGCCGGATGTGAGCTCTGTCAGCTCCAAGGCTGTTTCCCTTCAAGACCGTTACCTAAGCCAGGGCAGGGCTTCAGCCTCGCCGACTCAGACCTTCATACCAGAAAGCACGCGGGATATGTTAGGAGAAAGATTTGAATTAAAAATGAATGCAGAATTCCAGTACTTACTCCACACATTTTTATTAATCATATCACAGATGCGTGGCCAGTCCTCTCAGTCAGACTTCTCTAAGCAAAGGTAGTCCATCGGAAAGAAAGAATTCCCAGTAAGTGGGCTTGTGACAGAAGGAAAGTCTATTTTTAGGATTGAAACAAGTAATAAAATGAGAAAGCTAAAATAAAACACCGTGTTTGGGCTCCTCCACTCAGCGAATGACCTTTTGATGAATCGATGTGCCGGAACCAGGAGGGGGTGGGTACGTGTGGGATACACAGCAATTATTCTCAGGCAGATCAGACGTTTCGGATTTCATAACCTCTATGGGTTGATTCACATGTTCAGTTACTGTTTGCATTCATTTCTTCTCTGCATTCATTTCTGCCCTAATTGAAAAAAAAAAGGTGTTTGTTAGGTGTCATTTTGCCACCTGCGTTAATAATGGCTATACAACGAAGTAGATCCTTTTTACATTTGCTTGTACACGTGCTCAGACGTAATATCTGCAGTGTCACCTACACTTTAGTCATTGTTAGCATGAACAATGACTCAATTCATACTTAGGAGATGTTCCTGGAAAATACAGGCTCTGTGCTCCAAATCCCACCAGGACCCCTCTTGGGGTGGTATTCAAACACTTCAAAGCTCATATTCTCTCCCTTTTGTTTTTGAGCTGCACAGAATTGGCTACTCTGATTTACACTCTAAATCAGTGACTAGGGAAAACATAACTGGTAACAACTGCTAAATCCATAACAGATTGTCAGAACTGTTTTTAAGAGTTTTACATGAGCCCGGCTGCGGTGGCTCAGTGGTTGAGCGTTGACCTTTGCACCAGGAGGTCATGGTTCGACTCCATGATCAGGACACATCCCCAGTGGGGGGTGTGCAGGAGGCAGCTCATCATTTCCATTTGGTTATTTTATATTTTTTATTGTGGTGTTCTGGAACCAAATTTTAAATATCTCTGAGCTCCATTTTCTTCTTTTGCAAATCTGTGTAGGCAAAAGGGGTTTTTGTTGTTGTTTGTTGTGTTTTTGTGTGTGTGTGTGTTTTTTTACATCTATTACAGTTAGTCACTGAAAGTCTTTAATTTCCTTTTTACTCATTTTGTTTCCACTGTCTGTTGCTCTTGTTCTTGCCGTGGTTTCCTGTTTCCTGGTGTATTTGGTTTAGTTTGGTTGTGATTTGATATTGTATCACTGGAGATTTCTTAAGGCCTAAAACAAAGCTTTTTCCTTCAGGGCGGATTTGTATTTGCCTTTACCAGGTGGCTCAGGGCTCAGAACCAGTGTGGGATATCCCTAAACTACATTCTCAGCCTGGGTGAATCCCTGTGGTATTAATGCCAGAGACAAGTTAGCTGGGCTCTTAGTCCAAATCCTCAGGGGTGAAACCGGCGCTGCTGGGCCCCAGGGTTCGGGGCAGACTCTCCCTTGCCATCCTCAGTGTGTGTGTGTTTATTTCTAGTTCCTCTTTCCACCTCAAGGAGGTAGCTTTTGCTCTGGTGCCCGATTCACCAAGAAAGACTTCGTATCAGGCTCCCCATCATGGAGAGGCGTCACAAAACCCCCGGAAAGCAAAGCTCAGCTTTGGTTAAAAGCCCACTGGGGTGTTGAGGGTGCTTGGGGTGTCACAGGGGTCAGGCCCCTGGGCTGGAGAGGTCCTCACTTTCTTGGTGGCTCTCTGCGTTGCTTTTTAAAATATTAAAAATATTATTCTGGATTTTAATTGTGCCCATTTGCCAGTGTGTGGAAGGGGGAAATTCTCCTTTCCCTCCTCTGGTTCTTTTGCTTCGCAAATAATCTTACCAACAGAAAACAGGTTAACACGAGAAATTCACATTTAATCTTGTGTACACAGGGACCCCACACACGTAGGTCAGACACCGGCCGCTGGGAGAGGTTTGGAGATAGAAAGGGCAGCAGGTACACAACACGCTCTGAGCTACGGATGGTGTCCTGCACTTTGGGGGCTTCAAAGGGTTGGTTGTTGCAACATAAGAGCAGGTAAATAAAAGTTCGTCCTGCCCTTCAGACAGGCCAAACAGGTTCTTCCTGAAACTCTTATGGGCAATGTCCCTAATTCAAGTTGCCTGTAGTTGAGGGTTAGAACCTTCTCTTGTGCCCAAGGCGAAAACTGCCTTTCACCCAAAATTACCTGCTTGCCAGGCTTTGAAGACGCCTCCAAGCCTGGTCCCACCTCCTCTCCCTGTGCCCTGGGGATGCAGCACAGGCTGCGCCCTCTCCCTCCCCCACTCGCTGCTCAGAGCCTCAAGCAGAAATTGAACTGCACAGCCACCAAACCAGAAAAACCTCGGTATACTTCGTGAAAACAGTGTTTTCAACCTTTTCTCAGCAATAGTTTGCTTTTTTTTTTTTCCTGAGAAAAACTCTAAAGATTAAAGAGAACTTGTCACAAAAAGTTGCACTGTGCTTTCATGAGGGGTCATCATCAAATCCCTGATCAACTCGGAGACCTGCACACGGAAATGGGAGCTGTACATTTGCAATCAATTTCAGGACAATTTAGCGTTTACTTATGAACTGCGCTTGTCTCCCATTTATACAACTGGTGGCAGCTATTACTGCTGGATAATCCCCAAGTATTCCCTACACCTTTCTATAATAAAATGGTGATGTAGCTTTCAACTCAGAGAAACCAGAGAATGGATTCTGAGCGAATGAATAGATTACAACTCATTTGTTGAAAGTATGCGTGGCTCTGAAAAGAGCCTTTGGGGTTAAGGAGTGAGGCCGCGTGCTCGCGCGCCTACTTGGAGCTGGTGTACTTGGTGACGGCCTTGGTGCCCTCGGACACGGCGTGCTTGGCCAGCTCGCCGGGCAGCAGCAGGCGCACGGCCGTCTGGATCTCGCGGGACGTGATGGTCGAGCGCTTGTTGTAATGCGCCAGGCGCGACGCCTCGCCCGCGATGCGCTCGAAGATGTCGTTGACGAACGAGTTCATGATGCCCATGGCCTTGGACGAGATGCCGGTGTCGGGGTGCACCTGCTTGAGCACCTTGTACACGTACACCGAGTAGCTCTCCTTGCGGCTGCGCTTGCGCTTCTTGCCGTCCTTCTTCTGCGCCTTGGTCACCGCCTTCTTGGAGCCCTTCTTCGGGGCGGGCGCGGACTTGGCGGGCTCGGGCATAACGGCGATAGGTGTCCCACTGGCGCTCACACTAGAAGAACTAATGACCCCTCAGCAGTGGGGCGATTATTTATAGACGATGTATTCAAATGAGGCTAGTATGATTTCGATCCTGATTGGAGGATTCATAGGTAGTCGTCACAAATGAGCATGTAAATAAACTTTTCATTGTACCTTTTCATTGGCTATTGGATTACTTTGCTGGGCCCAATCAGATGCTTAGACTATGTTACCCAGCGCTACCAGAGCCCTCGGCCAGCTCTGTGCTGTGTACTTCAGATCCTGTGAAACTTCCCGACAATGCACCAGCTGCAGGGTTGTGGGCGGAGGCCATCTGCCGGCTGGTACACCTCCAGACCCCGAGTGTGGGGCCCGCGCCAGCGGACACCTAGCGGCCGAGCTGATGTCCTGGGCGCAGGAGCTGGCGCAGACTGTGGCTGACAAACGCAGTGGCGCGCGCCCGCGGCACTTAACGAAACCACCAGGCACTCGGCAACGTGCTGCGCGACACTGAAATCCAGCAGCCCCAATTCTATCAAAGCTCTAATGATTAGCCCTAGCCAGTGTTTCAGTGGCTAGCGCGTGGGCCTGTGGACCCAAGGGCACCGGGTTCGATTCCGGTCAAGGGCACGTAACCTAGGTTGCAGGCTCCTCCCCAGCACGGGCCCGGGTCGGGGCACAAGCAGGAGGCAACCAATCGACATTTTCCTCTCACATTGTTTTTTTCCGCTCCCACTCTACACCCTCCCCTCCCCCCCCCCCCCCCAAATACACACAAAAAAATAATCCTGTAGTATTTACTTGGGTGAACCTTCCCCTTCATAACCGCCCACATGTCCTAAGGTTAAATACGTCTTAGGAATTTGTGCGCCTGTAGAGGTCGCCAAATACCCCTAGGGCTGGGAATGCCGCACTTCCGCCCGAGTCTGTGGGCCAATTTAGAAACGAAGTTGCCTCGAAGGGACGCAGTGCAGTTCCGGCGCCCCGCAGATCAAATAGACAAACCAGAACTAGGTCCAAAGCAACTCCCAGTCCTGCTGAACCGAACCCCTCCTAGACAGTATGCCAGGTACCGAGTCCGGATAACCCTCCATCCCCGGAACCTCCCTTCGCCCCCAGCCCCGCCCGTCTCTGCAGCGCCCGGCCGACCCCGAAAAAGTGCAACAGCTCTTTCCTGGAGACCCGTGGGTGGCTCTGAAAAGAGCCTTTGGGGTTGTGTTGTGTGTTAACAGTTGGCCAAAGGGACTTCCTACTTCTTCTTGGCCGCCTTCTTGGTCTTGGCAGCCTTGGGCTTGGGGGCCTTCGGCTTAGGCGGCTTGGACTTCGCCGCTTTGGCCTTGGCCGGACTCTTGGGCACCTTCTTGGCTTTGGCTGCTTTCGCCTTCTTCGGGCTCTTCACCTTTTTGGCTCCAACAGCCGCCGCCGGCTTCTTGGGCTTCTTCGGGGTCTTCTTGGCACTCTTCTTGGGGGTGGCCGAGCCCGCGGGCTTCTTGGGCTTCTTGGCCGCGCCCGCGGGCTTCCTGGGCTTGGCCGCGCCCGCCTTCTTGGCCTTGGGCTTGGCCTCCCCGGAGGCCGCCTTCTTGTTGAGCTTGAAGGAGCCCGAGGCGCCGGTGCCCTTGGTCTGCAGCAGGGTGCCCTTGCTCACCAGGCTCTTGAGGCCCAGCTTGATGCGGCTGTTGTTCTTGTCCACGTCGTAGCCCGCGGCCGCCAGCGCCTTCTTGAGCGCGGCCAGCGACACGCCATTGCGCTCCTTGGAGGCGGCGACCGCCTTGGTGATGAGCTCGGACACGGGCGGCCCGGACGCCTTGCGCTTGGCGGCGCCGCCGGACTTGCGCGGCTTCTTCTTCGCGGGCGCCTTCTCGGCGGGGGCCGGTGCGGCGGGGGCGACGGGCGCGGTCTCGGACATGCTGCGGGCGGGCGTGGGAGCGAACTCGAGCCGGAAGAGCGACACTGGCCGGGACTCGGGCCGCGCTGCCGCGCCCGCGCGCTTATATAGGGCGGAGCTGCGCCGTGATTGGTGCGCTGTCCAGCCCGCCTCGCTGGCAGCTGCGGAGTGTCCTGTCGGATCCCGAGTTGTGTTTGTTACACCTCGAAAAATGCTCAAAATATCAAAATCCCCTGCACCGAATTGCCCGGTTTTGCTCAGAAAGGGATCCCCGAAGTCTCAGGCTTCGCCCAGGGGTCCCGTTACGCGGAAACGAAACACCTTTATGCGAAAAACTAGCAATATTTCCCACCGTGCGCGTCAGATTTCAACTCTGAGAAACAAAACTTTCTATTTTCTGCGTAAATTATACACCGATCTTTAACGGTGGAGTTTTCTGACCTCTCACATAGGATTCTCCAAGTGGTTAGGTTCTCATATATCAAAAAACCATTTCCCTGGAATGAAGATTTTTATTACAAATCTGCCCTTAAGTGAGGGAAGTAACACAGGCTCCTCGGAGAGTCCTGCCTATGGAGCCGAGGGCATTTGAGTTCATCAAGCTGGATTCCTTTAATGCCAAACGAATTATTGCCCACGAGGGGTCCCATTTTGGGGCCCCGAGACACCAGTCTATGCGCCCATGGTTTTCTTTCTGTGGGCAGCACCCGCGATTTTAAACAATTCCTTAGAATAAGTCTTTCCCTGTCTGCTCCCAAGGGTTGGGGGCGGGGCTGTTGGTTCCCTTCCCCTGGACAACTGCTCCAGGAGTTCAGATGCCTTCAATTCAGGGCCTTGGGAAGGAAGGGGAGGCAAAACACTGGGTGCACAGAAATGGGAAAAGGTTCATTTTCAACTAGCCCACGGGTGATGTCCACAAAGTCCCTGGCAGGGGAGGTGCCCTTTGAGCAACGTCTGTGGTCTTGCTGAGTTCTTTCAGCCCATACCCTAGGGTCACATTGTCATATACTAGTTAGAATTGAAATTCAAATGTTGGTCTTAAAGGGACATAAATCAGAAGTGGAGCTTATAAGGCATCTACTATTGTTAGAGAAACCCAGGACCCCTTATTACTGAATAGGGGATCAAGAACTAGTCCACCCACCAGATAAGCTTCGGTCATGAAGATTATGGCCCGATGCGTCCCAGGGTTTCATAAAGAAGAAAACAAGTTACACGGAGGACTAAATGACCAGCTTAATTTTCCATCTCGGAAGCAGAATTCTGAGGGACGATGGAAGCGAAGCCATTCTCTCTGAAGACGTGTTTGTTTGTTTTTTGCAAGGTCTCTAAAGAGTGGTGCCCTTTATGTAGTTGTCCAATCGACACAGAAGTACAGTTGGCAGTGAACACCCAACTAAAGGACTTTTTCCAGCGAAATGAACTGAGTGGACTTGTTTCTAGAAACTGCAAGCCATGCACTTGAGAGAAAAACACAATTTTGGCCAGTGCCTAAGTGGATATGATACTATTCTGTGGGTGCAGTGGCTGTAACATTGGTTTTGGGCAATCACATTGATTTTGAGTTTTACTGCCCCATATTTTCATACACAGCAGACCCTACAGATGATGTCCATAAAGTCACAGGAAGTGGAGGTGCACTTTGAGAAATCTGCCTGCATGCTTTTTTAAAAAAATATGTTTTTATTGATTTTTAGAGAGAGAGGGAGGGAGAGTGATAGAGAGATAGAAACGTTGATGAGAGAGAAACATCATCAATTGGCCGCTTCCTGCACACCCCCTACTGGGGATGGAGCCTGCAACCCCCGGCATGTGCCCTGACTGGGAATTGAACCAGTGACCTCTTGGTTCATGGTTCGATGCTCAACCACTGAGCCACTCCGGCCGGGCTCTGCCTGCATTCTTGCTGATGCTTGTGGATCACATTGCAATACACCAGTCCTACTGAAATAAAAATGAGAATACAAATCTTCATGATGAAACATTCATGAGATGTTTAAAAATCGCCTTATTTAAATTAATCCTGAATGTGGTACAAAAATGATGTAAAATAGCAAATTTTTAAAGCTGTCATGTCTAAGCAGTTTCAATGGAATCGGCTCATGCTCTTGAACAATAAGTATGCCCTGTGCCACATCTGCATATATAAAAGGCTAATATGCTAGGTGTCCCTCCCTCTGTCCTACCACTCTCTGTGACGCACACTAACCACCAGGGGGCAGTTGCTCAATGCAGGAGCTGCCAGGACTCACACAGAGAAATGGCACTAGGGACCTGGTGCCCACAAAGCAACACTGGGCTTCCCCCAAGTGGGACACAGGCCCCGCCACTACCCCAGAGCCACACCCCACCAAATCGCAGCTGATGCTGCCGGGACCTCATGGCAAATTCATGCACATTGAAAGGAAATTAATTAGAAGAAATATTTTAATATCACTATTCGCCCTTTCTCTATAATAGAGTGTCAACCAAATTCATGATTGACAGTGACAGATCGAAACACGCGTGCGATTGGTGCCAGCAAGAGCTTCATATGTGTCGCGCATGCGTGAGTCAACTTAGCCTCTTATAGACATAGAGTAAACCTGCTTCATTAGACCTGATTTCTGGCTTAGCTAAACTTTTTCCAGCCCAGCAAAGCACCCCAACTTCTCTTTCAGGTAATTGTTAGCAACACAGCAGTAAATATCAGCACATTATTATTGTAGATCACGCAGGGAGAACAAAGGGTAAAATATTTAGGTGCAGCAGTGTCTGAGTATATTCTGCACAGTGGAAAACCTGGAGTCATTTTCAAAGTCCACCATTTCTTACTTCTTTTCAGTTGGGTCAAGTTTCTAAGATTTCTAAATCTGTTTTCCAGCTAATGAAAAGAAAACCGAGTCTCCTATCTACCTACTCCAGGACTTCTGTGAGGATCAAATGAGATGAGGCATAGGAAAATGCCGGAGTCCATTCATTGTCTTCACTAGCTGAGTTTAGACAGAGACCCCCCAAAAGCTAGTAACCTTTGAAGTTCTAGCAAAGGTCAGAACTGTGCACCACCCAGTTAATTTAGGTAATAATAGTTGAAGCATCCCCACCTTAGTTCCCTTAATTCCTTAGATACTTATGTAGATTCTTGTTGATTATTGTTAATCAGATACTCTGCCTACTCCCAGAAATCTATTGATGAGCTAATCAGATACTTTGTCTATTCCTGGAAATTGTTTGCTGATCTGTGTGTCATTGAAACCTCCTTACCCTAAGGGCTACTCCAGATCAATAAAAGATTGGAGCAGCCTGAGCAGTGGTGAAAGTCCTTCGGGACTTGGCCGCCTGGTCCCCCAATATTGCAAAATTATCTCGTGTCTTTTTCTCTCATTTGTTGTGGGGCTCCTCTTTCAGATACCGAACCCTACTCCACACAGAACGTGGAGGGAGTCTTACTCGACAGGAAAACACTTCACCGACATTTGGTTGAACTGTAAAATGTTTGCACCTGGCTATAAAGGAAGTCGTGTTCCTGGGCTGAAGAAACTGCAAGGAGACTAGTTGTCGCTAGCGAGAGAAAGCCTGGTGTTGCTACGTGACATCGTTACCTGGACAGTCGGACACTTAGCATATCAGGCTTTTATATAGAGAGATATTTTTATTAATTTCAGAGAGGAAGGGAGAGGGAGAGAGAGATAGAAACATCAATGATGAGAGAGAAACATGGATCAGCTGCTGCCTCCTGCACACCCCACACTGGGGATTGAGCCCACGACCCAGGCATGTGCTCTGACTGGGAATTGAACAGTGACCTCCTGCTTCATAGGTCGACGCTCAGCCTCTGAGGCAAGCCAGCCGGGCCAGACGGCCTCTTCTCTCTGTGGAGAGGACCCATGTGACAGATGAGCTTCCTGGTGCTTAACCAGGAAACTCTGTCCTGGCTGATTCAGTGCATGTTTCTGGGAGAGGTTTTGCCTGCAGTCACGTTAGGTCTGAGATGTAGGTTTTGTATGTTGGGCTTTTAGCACGAGGGCACCATTGGGCCTGTGTGTTTGTGTGTTTGAACAATTTTATGTATAGATTTCAGCCTTGTTCCAGATGATTCTGAGCCAATCACTCCAGTTGGTCTCAGAATCTCCGTATTTATCAAGTTCCTCAGGGCCCACCCACCTCGGGGAATGGCTGCCACGCTCACGGGAGGTGGCGACAGGCCGTGGGGTGAGCGTGTGCATTTCTGGACTCGCCTGTAAGACCTGCCCAACGACGTTTACGCCGGATATGACCACACTGTGGGAGGACGGGGCGGCAGCCATCAAATCCTTGCGTCCACGGATTCCCACCTGACCGGGCTCCAGGGCGGGCTACAGGGGAATGAGGACGCCAGTGGCCACAGGCGGACGCCTGGGCCCCGACTGCCAGCTGACAACTGGAATCCTAGCACAGCGACTCCACTTCTGCCCCATGTGCCCCAATAACCACCCTTTCCCACTGTAGCCGGTGTGGCTCCGTGGACAAAGCAACGACTCATGGACTGAATGCGATTCTGGGCAAGGACACAGACCTCGGTGGCAGGCTTGATGCCCAGCCCTGGTCGGGGCATGTGCAGGGGGCAAACGATGGATGTGTCTCTCCCATATCAACGTCTCCCCTCCCCCCCCCTCTGTCACCTCCACTCTCTCTAAAATAAATAAATAAATGAACAAATAAATAAATAATGGGGAAAACATCCCCTGGTGAGGATTAGCAACAACAACAAGATGTCACAACTGCCCCGTGTGCTCCCTGCCTCGTTACTGAGTCGATGCGACAGCCCCTGCTCTGCACCGTCTCCCCTCCTTCCTCGGACCGTGGCTCACGCAGGTGCAGGAGCACCTCCCGAGGCCGCGCTGAGGTCGCCCCCAGGGTCCCAGCTCGCATCTGTCTGATCTGGAAGCCCGGCTGTCAGGTCAGTGTTTCTCGGGTGGGAGGTCCGGACAACCATACAGGCTGGGAGGCCAGTTCAGTGGCAGCAGGACGGAATGAGCTAGGACAGGGTCTAACACATGGACCTCAGCCCGGCCGGCGTGGCTCCGTGGTTGAGGGTCGACCTATGA